GCTTGGATAGATTACCACAGAACTGACAGGGCTAGGGCGAATAAAGTTGTTGGATCCCTTTTTTACCATATCTGCAAAAGACGTGTTTGTTGTAGCAGATTTAGTGCAGGATTCCTGTATAGTCTTTTTAAAATCAGTAAGACAAGCTGAGAGGTCATGGTTTTTCTTTAAAATTTGCAAATTAGAGTGAGTTGATAACGCCTTTTGCTTTAAAGACTGATATTGAACAGCCATTTGCGCAACTCCATGTCCAACTTTTCGGCAGAGATTATTAATCCTAGGTTTGTGGTCAGATACTAGTTTTCCCTCATTCGATATGGTACATACTTCTTGTAAATATTGCTCAATTGAGGTAAGCCAGTTTTGTATTTCCGGAGTAGATACTATTTTTAAGGTATCCATATCATCCTGGTCTTGAGTTGGATGGCTGGGCGTCGTTGGGGGAGGAGTGCGGCGAGTAATGCCGCTTCGATTGAAGGGGCTCTCACTTGACATAATTAATGAAAAAGAACTTACACTAAATATTTATGTCCATTATTATAATTTATGCACGTATAATTGTCACTCACTGAGCGTAACCTCATAATACGCTTAATCACTATTTAAACTAGGTCACTATTATTTAACTGTTAATTTATTTTATAAGCGCGATGAGCACGTCTGTGCGCTAGTACGATCGATCGATCGATCCAATCCAAATCAATGAACATAACCTGTCACGGTGCGATTTAAACTGAATGGCATCTGTGAGCGCAGTTCGCGGCACAGTAGTAAGTGAAATGAAGGTTAATGAAGGCTTAGTGCTGGGAGACTTATAATTAGACGTTATTAGACTTTTGTTCTAATCAGTCATGGTTGATATTCATGTGTTAATATTGAACTGTTATCAGCAGATACATATATTATACATTTATAAGCGATGCGCATGGCTGTGGACGCTGGCTCGATCATTGCATAGTAACGAGCGCTGCGCTGCGCGGTATTTGATTGTCAATGCCTCTGTGATGTATGATACGTATTGGTCAGATCATTATCCCTTGTTAATAGGATGTAATATAGAGTTAATAAAACCTAAGATTGTCAATTCAATATACCGCAATAATAAAATAATTTGGGGAGAAAGAGATATTGAACAAACAAACTATTATAATTTCATTGACTAACACTAGAAATGCGCTAGCATCACTATATAGTGTGCACTAGAATAAGATTACGTCTGTTACTAACTCTTGTCTATGGATTTAAAGTCTGGAATAAACGTTTATTAGTATTAATAGTTCTACGATATGAATTCGATATTGGTTCGTGCTAGGTGTACTGTACCCCTAGCACGAACCATTATCGAATTCGAATAGTTTGCAAACCGAAATGTCAATGTCAAATTTTGTATGGAAACTTGAACAGCAGCGGCACTTTGGACGTAACGGGAACTAAAAATCAGTACACATTTGACAATGACATTTGGGATTCGCAAACGTCACGAATTCGATTTTGGTTCGTGCTAAGGGTACTGGTCTCTGGAGAACGATCGTTTTCTTGTTTACGACGAGTAAAAAATTATTACGACAACTGATTTTTAAGGAAAATGGATTGCCAAGATTTAATTAATGATTTTGCTGCACTAAAGTAGGTACATGCGAGTTTTGTAACACTTATAACAATTATTAAATCTTATCTTGTACTCTTAACCTGTAGTCAAATAAATAACCGTTTTAATGTTTTATATAAATGTGCAATTATTCCAGAAACCTCGTAAAATATTAGAAATTAGCAGTTATTATTATTATTAATAATTCTAGTAGACTTATAGTTATGTGTATGTATGTATGTACGTGGAATTTTATCTAGTTATTTCTTATTCTAGTTATTTTCTTTAGATTTAAAGATCAAGCAGTTACATGCTTTAAAAAAAAAATATATAACTTATAGTTACTTTTACTCACCACAACCTACACGTACTTGCGATAGCAAGTAGCTCCGTACAAATTAATTGTGTTTAATGATATTCAAATCACACTCGAGTTAAAGTTATCATGACATAACCAAGTATGCTAAGTTGGCAGAGTATGTTACAGGAAATAACTAGTTGTAACAACTTATGTACCTTATTCCTGCGAATCAAACCATTTTTTCTCCTGAATTTCAAAATCTATTTAGATAAAAATTGGCAATAAAGTAATTTCATTATGTAGCTGTGAAAGGGGCGGCTGATCGCTTGGGGCCTAGGGCGGCTGAGACTGCAAATCCACCACTGCACTTACTACATCATATCAAAATATTATTACTATACTTAAACATAGCATAGCATATAGCTGAACTTAGTTATAGAGGTACCAAAAGTTAAAAAATATAAGTACGTCATAGGTTGGAATCTATGTTGGAATAGGAGAGAACTATCGTACCATCTCTTTGACATCACATGCGAGTAAAGTCTTTCTGCATATACTGAACAAAAGGCTCGAGAGTTTCATCGGTGGTCAGATTGCAAGGGAGCAAGCAGGTTTTGTGAGAGGTACTCGTGCACAGAAACTGAACATCAGGCAGCTCATTGAAAAGGCCAGAGTTTAACGTGCCGATGGCCCTATGCTTCATTGACTATGAGAAGATAATGATAGAGATGGGTATACCGGACCACCTTACTTTTCTTGTGCAGAACCTCTAACTAGACGGCAATTCTAGGATCAGATTCGAAGACACCGAATCAGAAGCCTTTCAGACCAACCGCGGCGTTAGACAAGGGTGTATTCTTTCGCCACAACTATTTAATCTCGTGGGCGAACACATCATGAGAAGAGTTCCGGAGGATTTGAGGACACCTCATTAATAATTTATGTTTTGCAGATGACACTACCATTATAAGCTCGAACGAATCAGAACTAACCGAGTTTCTGCAAAGAGTCCAAAATGTGAGCGTGGAGTATGGCCTGCATATTAATCGGGCTAAGACAAAACTCATGTTTGTGGATCGGGCGGGCACGTTACAGCGGACGGGAGAACTGTCTGACCTTGATGCGATGGACTTTGTCAATCTGGGATCTCTGGTTGCTGAGGACGGTGACTGTGAAAAAGAGGTGATAAGGCGAGCCCAGATTGCAAAAACAGCTGTGAAGCGACTAGAGAAGATCTGGAGGAACAGAAGTATTAGCAGAAGAACCAAAACAAAGCTAATGAGAACCCTGATCTCCTCTATATTTCTATACGCTTCAGAAATTTGGACTGTGAAGGCGCGACTTCGAAACAGGATTGACGCATTCGAAATGTGGTGCTGGAGCAAGATGTTACGAATACCTTGGACGGCGCGTCGCACCAATGCGTCGATCCTGGCCGAACTGCAGATCAAGTGCCGCTTATCTACCATTTGCCTCCAACGGATCCTGCAGTACTTCGGTCACGTGGCTAGACGTGAACCAAATAGCTTGGAAAAGCTTATTGTGGTTGGCCACGTGGAAGGAAAGAGGAGTCGCGGAAGATCACCGACGCGATGGACCGATGCCGTGAAGGAAGCCTGCCAGGGAACTCTAAAGACGTAAATTCGGAAGGCACAAGACCGTGTGGAGTGGAGAGCCTTGGTGCACAAAATGACCTAAAGTGATCACGACCCTCAGTGATGAGGAAGCAAGGACGAAGAAGGTTGGAATAAATATGTTAGTGGCGCACACAGAGAGGCTCGCCTTTGGTACCATAATTGGATATTATATGGAAATCCAACTTCTGGGTATTTGTACAATATTATGTGTGAGTCCTGAAGAACATTTAAATCTTAATTAAAATACTGTCAGAATAATGAACAACAAAATAAAATGAACATAATTAATAAAAAACATTCAAAATTTAAAAAAAAATAAACAATAACATAATTTTTAATAAATATTTTTTTAAACTTAACCTAAAGCCGAGTCTTCCTGTTAGTATAGCCGGTGTGCACGGATCCTTAAATATCGCTAATGCATTTTAGCGTCATTTTAGAGTTGAGTCTCTGGTTGCTAATATGCGGCAGATGCTCAGTGTGGATGGGCATCCCGAAAACCTAACTGTTAGATTCTCTGCTAATGAAGTTGCAAATGTAATAAAAAGCATGGTTAATGGAAAGTCACCCGGGCACGACAGCCTCAGTATTGAGCATCTCAAGCATGCGGGTGTACACCTGCCGCGACTACTTGGGATGTTCTTTAATTTGTGTATAAGTCATAGTTATTGGCAAGACGAACTTATATATACTGTAATTGTATCAATTGTTCATACATTTCAGACGTTTTAATTGTAGGACGATTTTCAATTTCAGACGTTTTACTAGTAGGTCGTTTTACTTTAACATCATTTATCCCACTAGGGCATTTTACTTTTTTTTCTAATTTATTGGCAATGGATACATTGTCCTTATGCCTAGCTTATTACTAAGAACATGCAACTTAAAATAGGTATATATGTTAATTATTTACATTTTACAGTTTTTCTACGGTGTTACTTATATAATTAAATATAGGTTTATAAAATAAATGGTTCCCTAAAAGTTTATGAAATTCTGTTGGTATGTCACAATCATTAGTTTCACAGATATTTTGCAGTTTCGAACTTGAAACGTAGTGTTGCCAGGTGTGCAGATTTGCGCGGGACGTCAAGATTTTCAGGGGATTAGGGACACGTCCCGATTTGTACCTAGTCGAGACGCTAAATGTTCCGATTAATCAAAAAATAAATTTAGGTAATTAATAAAATACTATACTTGCAGTAGTAGTTTAAAATGCAACAAATTAAACCCAGACTTAAAAACCTCTTGTTTTTTGTTTACTGTCCCGGTCTGCAACCCTAAGTCCCGATTTTTTTGGCCTCGTGTACCGATTTAAAACAAATCGGACCTGGCAACACTACTTGAAAGTCCTTCTGATACGGGGGGATATTTTTGATATCGCAAGCTATGAAGCCACTTACCATCAGGCGGGTCATATGCTTGTTTGCCACCCTTTTTAACATAGAATATCCAATCCAATCCAATCTTCCAGCGCGAACGCAGCGCTGCTACTGCCTCGTAGCGTGGGCTACCTCACGCTGAACTCTTCCCACCCGCTGGACCCGCCGCTCTTCTTCCCTAATTACTTCGAGCACCCAGAAGACTTGACCATGATCAAGGACGGCGCCAGATACTTACAGAAGATATTTGAATCTGACGTAAGATATTTCATCATCATCAACCTACTCGTATATCTAAATTGCTACGCCAAATTATTTCTTGTGAAAAATGAAATATTACTAAACTAAGCCACCAAGTAATCTTTGTGAGAATTAGTGGGTGCTTCAACCCATACCTCCGCCTCATCTCTTGTGGAGTTGGAAGAACGACAATGCAATAACGTAAGACTTTACTGAATATAAGAGATAAGTTCGGTATCTTTAACAATGATTATTTGATATTGGTTGGTTCTGCAATCAAGATTTTATCCAAAAAAAGTGACATCCACGCAAATCCAGATTTTCAAACTCATTCTTGTGTTTAACTTATAAATGTAAAAGATGTTCCGAAAAAACATAACAGACGATACAAATGATTAGAATTAATTACGTAAGTAGCTAAAACATTATATGCATTTTAATAGGTATCTATTACAGACTCTCAAAAACAAATACGGTCTGCAACTCGACCACAAGACGACCGAGAAGTGTTCGAAGTTCGCTAGTTGGTCAGACGAGTGGATCGAGTGCATGGCTCGAGTGAACACCGACCCGCAGAACCATCAGCTGGGCACCGCCGCCATTGGCCGAGTGCTCGACACGCAGCTCAGAGTTTACAACATTAAAGGTGAGATACTTCTAGGAAAACAAGACTACCGAGAAATGCTCCGAGTACGACAGTTGCTCGGACGAGTGGATGGACGGAACACTTAAGGGATCACGTTGCTGTCTCATACCCTATCATCCGTCTACAAAGAGATTTTCAAAAACGGGTATAGTTGCTCAGCTGAAATCAATATCAAATGACTACCTATTCAGATCTACAATCCCTTGGAGCAGCGAAAAAATCAAACCGTTTATCTTCAGCTTGTTAATGTCCCCACTGCTAGGGCATACGTCTTCCCTATGGAGAGGATCATGCGCAAGAATCACAGGGAGAGTGGACCATAACCACTACACTGCCGTAGGCCCAGCCAGAGTTAATTGGTTCGGTCATAATGGAATGGACAGTTCACCCATCTTAAAACCTTACCACTGCGAAAATTTATCAGCTTGCTTGCAGTAATAATCATCATCATTATCAGCCTATTAATGTTTCCACTGCTGAGGCACAGGCCTTCCCTACGAATGGAATAGGGAGTTTTGGGCCATGGTCCACCACGCATGCCCAGTGCGGATTGGTGGGTGCTAACGACTGCAGATGCAGCCGGGACCAACGGCTTAACGTGCTTTCTGAAGCACGGAAGAGCTCGAGATAGTAAATTTTGGTCACCCATCCAATGACAAAGCACTGCGAAAGTTGTTTTACTTCCACGATTCAGCCGAACGCGCTGACTTTTGCTAAATTGCTCGCAGTAATATTTTTATTAAATGTATCAGGTTTGCGAGTGATCGACGCTTCGGCGATGCCCACACAGCCGACCGGCAACCCACAGGGCGCCATCATGATGGTGGCCGAGAGGGGAGCCGCTTTCATAAAGGACACTTGGCAATAACATCGGTTACTCATTTACCTGATTACGTTCAGTGACACACTAACTCTAGTAGTTATTCTTTGAGTATGTTGTATACTTCGCTGATTATGTTTGCAACAAATTTTGTTAATATTTAGCAGTACTTAATTAGGGGTATAACCAGTCAGCTCCACATTGATCTTAATTGTTTTATACCAAACCATTGTATATCAATCAAGTTATCAGATCTTCTGTCATCCATATGTGCTTGTTAAAGTCTGAGTTTGAGTAATAACAGAACTGAGGAAGAGGTTAAGGTCGAGATCTTGAGTGGGTGCGCAACGCAGAAAATTCGTAGGACCTCTTATAGCATTTACTCGTAGTCGCCTGAGCTAGGATTTCTTCTCAGATATGATATGACGTGATATAATATCAGCTGTCCCAGTTTTGTGTATTGATCAAAATGGTTCAGTGTACGGATGTTTTTCTTTAGGTATATGTGACAAGGACAAGTAAACAACGATAACTATGAGATACTTACAACAAGTGGATAGTTTCGTAGTAAGTAGTTATAAACCAAATTTAAAAAGCTTATCTTTCAAAGGAGATTGCTCAGCTTCCATACATGTTTGGCCTAAAGACCAATAATCATGAAAAATTGTTTCCTAGATCCGCAATTATATATAAATTACTGTAGAAACGAATATTATTGACGGACACCCCTGAGAACTTCTATAAACCATATACACTGAACATATTAAAATAATAAAAAACAAATAAGTTATATAGTAAACTAGCGAAATCAAGCCAAGTACCGAAATTATGGATTAGATTCAGGTATATAGAGCATGTAGATTAACAGATAGTTACCTGTTTTAAAGTTAATGCATAAGAGTAACTTTTAAAATCAGGTGTCATTTCCGGTTATAATAAGGTACTCTGTGACAGAAACTGTGTGGTGATTGTGAATGAGCCACAGATTAGAGAGAATTTTTAAACTCTCGTTAATCAAAGAAAGCTAAGAGATTTATTTAGGTTCTATAGCCATATATTCAGTAGCTTCATTATTTTTGTTATGTTTTTAAGTTTACCATATTTTAGATTTTTAGTGTATCACACCTTATAATTTTATTTATTTATTAATTTATAGTCAGGGAAAGTAGGCCCATAGATAGATACCTTAAAGTCTAACATATATACAGATTATAATGTGTTTATGAAGGTGTTTGGCGAAAAATGTATGGCAATAGACTTTATGATGTCGCCTACCATCTATAATAATTGTCGGAGCACATTTGCATCTAGTGAAAATGATAATATAGTTGTGTATATTAATACCACAGTGTAATAAAATAAATGATTTATTTTATCGATCTTTACAAAATAGATTTGTTTTTATGTTATATAAACAACTTCGATCAGTCTTTGGCTGAACGTTACTACACCCACAGCCATTAAAAATGATTCGTATGTTTTCCAAACCGGTAAAATTAAAAGTCCTTTTTAAAGTAAATATATTATACGAAGGTGTCCGTTGAAATCTAATGACTGTAAATTAAATTATAAATTACGCCAAGAATTACCGTGTATGTCAATATTTTTTGTGCATTTGGGCCAATTTGAGCAATCGCCTTTACCTAAAACTTTAAAATAATAATACAATACTCTTTATTGTTGTACAGCACACCACACAGTACACAAAAGAAACAATACATGAGAATGCTCTATATCTTTATCTTCATTGATATTTCCATAAACTTTGCTCAACGGAACTAAAATAATGTTACTCAAAAAAAAGAACTGAAGCTGTACCACAACGATATTAAGCTGTACCATAATTGATGATAAAAAAATCCCCTTCTTTCGATGACGAAATCAGACCGTTATTATAATATTTTACATCCCCTCGCGGTATGGTGACAATGTTATATAATACCATTCTTTGGTGTGTGTTGAAAATATTTAGGTATTCAGTTATTAACAAAGACAGTAAACCAGGGATTGGCAAACTACGGCCCGTGGGCCATCTTCGGCCCTTGAATGGCTGAAATCCGGTCCGCGATCATCAAACAAAAATTAAAGGTTCTCACCAAAAATACCATGCTGCCGTACCTGCTACCTTGTTACTGCTGCTGAGCCGCAGGGTGAGGGGCATTCGTTACCGAGTTATATTTTTATTTAATTTATACCTACATACCAAGGGGGTGTAAATCGGCAAGTCGTATAACATGAGTAAAAACCTAGCCCGCCATACATTGTGATCGTAAATATTGACACGAGAAGGTAAGTTTGCCCATCCCTGCATTAAAGTCATTTTATATATATTTCAATCTGTCTTTGACTATTACTTTTATTATTTTCATGGATAACACATTGAAAATGTAGATATTTACCTGAATCTTTTTTGTTCACCAAAAATTTTGTCGTCGGTTGTGTATAATATGAAGGTACCTACCTACTTACTATTATTAACATAAGCAATTAATTATAGTTTATCGATGATATACCTGCTATTAAAAGCTGTCAATTACCTACATGTTTGTTTCATTTTTAACCAGATTGACGTAAAACGTCGTTAAGGTGTGACCTCATTATTAACGTAGTAAAAGTATTTATAGCAACGCTTCTAAACACTAATTAAGGTTAGGATCTTCATAATTATAAAAACCGATACTTACTCATTGTTACTTAGGTATTTATGAAATGAATCACAATGCTTTATCAGCAGAAAAGCGAGAAGCTAAGAAACAAAAATTTCCATTTTTTTTTCGGCTGTGAGTCGCGAGGAGGCCTTTTGCACCCCGAGGCCGTGGGGCGGTGGCCCACACCGCTTCTGACAATACTTTAGGTCTCTTAAATTTACATAATTTAGTGAACCATTTTTGTTTCCATGACATTTTATAAAGCTTTGGCCCCAAAATTTTGAATCTTATGCATTAATTTCTCTTAAAGACAGCTTAACGTCGAGCACATCTCTAAAATTAAGAAAATGCTCTTTTATTGTCCCTACTCTGTATAAATCATCAACTGTTTTGTCTTAAAATTTAAGACTTCAATGATACCTAAACCGCGGGGGCCCTTCCGTAGGCAGGTCGGCGCATCTCCTCTGCAGGCAGTCAATCGGGAAAACAAACCTCCATTATTTGCCCGGACTCTTCGCGGCAGCGTCCGCTCGTTTTCGCGTCTCTTTTTTTCACTTCCACCATGGCAGCCTCAATAACAAAGTTTGGACGTACAGCGATGCACACCCCCACGCCTTCAACGCTGTTTGAGGTCGAGTTCTGCAACATACGCGGACTCCACTCTAACCTCAACGCTGTCCACCACCATCTTGAGACAGCACGGCCAGCATTGTTGTTCCTGACGGAGATACAAATACTTCCGCCTACTGACACAGGCTACCTTAATTATCCCGGCTACGTGCTTGAAGAGTCCTTCACTGCCTGTATGTTCGGGCGGATGTTTGTTGTCGCCGTCTCCGCTGCTTGGAAGATCCCTCCTTCTCCATGTTGGGGGTACACGTCGACTTTGGTTCCCAGGCCAGAGTCTACGTGTGCCTCTACAGATACCATACTGCCGATGTTGAGACAACTCGACTTTTCGAACATCTTAGTCTGGCGGCAGATGACGCGCATGAGCAATTTCCCAATGCAGAATTGGTGTTTTTGGGGGACTTTAATGCTCACCACAATTTGTGGTTAAGTTCCTCGAAAACTGACCATGCAGGGATCTCTGCTCACGCATTCGCTCTCACGCATGACATGAAGCAACTGGTCGATCAGCCCACCAGGATTCCAGATATTTCAAGTCAAGCGCCTTCATTACTGGACCTTCTGCTCACGACCCATCCACAGGTGTCCGTGATGCTAGCGTACCCACGATCAATATACGGTTTTTCGTTATGCCATTAAATACTGCGTAAATAGTGCCAAATTAGTGTAAAAATAAAAAAAATAGTGCCTCTTTAATTTAAGAAATAAAGACCATTTTTACTGTGTACGCTACCATGACGTCAAGCTAGCGTACCCATGGCCGACCCCAAGAACGGCATATATTTAAGCAACGAAATTGACACACAAAAATAGTTCGCAAATAGTGCCCTGGCTTTACAAAATTTCATAATCAATACTCTTAAAGGACCAAAGATATTGAACTAAACATTCTTAGCTGGCGCCAACCTGGCGTACCCTTAATAGTTCTTATAGAAAATGAACTTTTCTCGTTATCAATGTCCAATAATGCACTAAGAGATTATCTATATATGTATTTTTACTAAAATAAATAGGTACTTTTTATAAAAAGATATTTTATTTCAATTCGAATTCACCAATCATAAATTCATATAAGAATTTCAACCTACCTACTAAGTACCTACTATACTACGAAAATATTAACACTTCTGTACATGACTGTACTTCATATATAAAAATAATTTAATTGCTTTTTTATATTGTTTTACTGCGAATTAACATGAAATACTTATACTGTTAGAGGCACTATTTGACACACTATTTATACATATAGAATTGTAAACGAGAAAAGTTCATTTTCTATGAGAACTATTATGGATACGTAAGGTTGACGCCAGCTAAGAATGTTTAGTTCAATATCTTTGGTCCTTTAAGAGTATTGATTATGAAATTTTGTAAAGCCAGGGCACTATTTGCGAACTATTTTTGTGTGTCAATTTCGTTGCTTAAATATATGCCGTTCTTGGGGTCGGCCATGGGTACGCTAGCTTGCCGTCATGGTAGCGTACACAGTAAAAATGGTCTGTATTTCTTAAATTAAAGAGGCACTATTTTTTTTATTTTAACACTAATTTGGCACTATTTACGCAGTATTTAATGGCATAACGAAAAACCGTATATTGATCGTGGGTACGCTAGCATCACGGACACATCCACAGTGCTATCGGGTTGTGGTAGGAGCCCCCCTAGGCTCTTCGGACCACTGCCTGATATCTGCCAAAGCGCCACAGGCCAAGCCTCCTCGTCCAACAGTGGTAAAATGCCGGATCTGGCAATATGGCTCAGCAGATTGGGACGGTATGCGTAACTACTTTGCGTTCGTCCCTTTGAAGCAGCGCTGCTTCAGTGACAAGGACCTATCAGCCAGCGCCGTTGCTATTACTGAGGAGATTGTAATGGGTGTGGAGTACTATATTCCACATTCCAATCTCATCAGTAAGGGCACACGTAACCTCTGGTTCAATCACGACTGTGCTGAAGCTGCTTCGCGTAAGCAGGCAGCATATCGTGCTTGGATCAGAGGCCTCACTCTTAACGATCCCGGGGTCGATTCACTGAAAGCAGCCTACAATATTGCTTCCAAGGCCTGTAAGAAGGCTAACATTAGAACGCAGCGCGTTGCACGCGTTGATCACGAACTCATAACGCATCCTACGGGCTCCCGTAGCTATTGGCGTTTGGCCAAAGCCGTGCAAAAGAACTTCTGCCAGCCCTCGCTGCCACCTCTGAGATGCCCAGACGGAACACTAGCTCATAAGCCGCAGGAGAAAGCCGACTTACTGGCAAAACTCTTTGCGGCTAACTCCCGAATCAGTGATTGCAATGCACTGCCACCATCATTACCTCACTGTGGCACAACGATGCCTGATATTAAAATCAGGCAGCGTGAGATTCGTGCCGAATTGCAATCACTCGACGTCCGAAAAGCGGTGGACCTGATGGCATCCCAGCAGTAGTACTGAAAAAATGTGCAGCGGAGTTGTCTCCCGTGCTCACGCGCTTGTACCAATGCCCGTATTCTTTGGGGCGTGTGCCGGAGACTTGGAGAGATTCTAACATGCAACCGGTGCCCAAAAAAGGGGATCGCTCAGACCCGGCAAACTACCGGCCTATTGGCCGGTAGTTGCCGGTTGGAGCGGGTCTGTCTGCTATTGCAGTCACCTCAGTTTTATGTAAAGTTCTAGAAAAGGTCCTTAATAACCATCTGACCCGCTACCAAGTATCATCAAGCATTGCAAAATTGAGGAGCTGTTTAGATAGCAAGACTAGTAAAAATACAACATATTCTCCCATGCAAGCACTGGCTATACTAGTTTAACTTAAATTATCAAAGTGGCAATATATAAGCTTGAGAGAATCTGCCAGTGATTAAGGAACGGAATTGTACCCATCATATCACAAAATAAAACTAGCTAAATTAGAACGTTACCCAGCAAAAGAAGACAATTTTAACCGATGAGGGGGCTTCTATCAAGTTGCAAGCCTTACTAAACCTAACCACGATCAGACTTTTACAAGCTGTTGAAATTAATACTTCTGTATAAAAAATAGCAAGTGGGTTTTTGATGGAGCTGCAGGCCAGAGTAACTATAAACAGAAAAATACTGATAATAATGATGACGATTCAAGTGTTTTTATGGCCAGTTTAGTACCTATTAGGCTATTGCGTGATGGTGTTGCAGTATGGGAAAACGATAGACCCTCATCAACGTTTTATGGTCGACCAATTATGTTTAAATTTATGAAAGAAAATCAGTTATCCGTCGAAAGTGTAAAAAAAAAATCAATAGATGATGAGATAGATGCCCTTCAGCTTACAAGTGTCAAGAAAGTTAATGTAGAACATCAGTTGTTAATGACCATGATCGACGGCAAGATTACTTCCTACTTGTCTGAGACATCAACATCAGCTTGTGTTAATTGTAAGGCAAAACCATCAGACATGAACGACTTGGATTCTGTGGAACGAAGACCAAAAAACACGAATATGTACCAATATGGGCTGTCATCTTTACATGCTTGGATCAGATGCATGGAATGCTTACTTCATATTGGTAAGTAGTATATTTTTTATGCAATGTTTTTTTTATTTCTTTTATTACTGTAGTTTTTGTCACACATTTTGCCGACTTATCTTAAATAACCTTGCGGTAAATTTATTTGGCATTCCGCTCAATATTTATATATTTTTTCTTATTTCTTACAGCATACCGCATGGAGATCAAAAATGGAGCTGCAGAGGTGAAGACAAGCAAAAATTAAATGAAAAGAAAAAACAAATTCAAGAAGATTTTAAAAGTGAATGTGGCCTTCTGATTCATGTTGTTCAGCAAGGAGCAGGTACCACAAATGACGGAAACACTGCTAGAAGATTTTTTTCTAATGCAGATACTTCAGCACGCATAACATGCCTGGATAAAGACTTAATAGAAAGGTTTCACGTAGTTCTTCAAGCGATTGCGTCTGGAGAATGTATAAATATTGCAAACTTTTCTTTATTTTGTCGCAAAACAGACAATTTTTATGTACAATTGTATCCATGGTATTATATGCCATCAAGTGTTTATAAATTGTTAATGCATGGTAGCATATCGCTACCATTTTGGTATGACTCCTATTAGTAAACTCTCGGAAGAAGCATCAGAAGCTCGTAATAAAGATTATTTCAGAAGGGACCATTCTCGAAAAATAAGCCGTTTAGCAACAAATGAAGATATTTTGCACAATCTTCTTTTGTCCTCAGATCCAGTGCTAACAACTATAAGGCCAAGAATGGCAAAACAGACTAGGATGCCTCTTTCTTCTCAAACCATTGAACTTCTGATGCTTCTCCCTACCGAACCAAATCAAATGGGATTTATTGACAAACACTCACAGGCAGTGGCGGCGCTAGATCACATGTGGATGTCAGCGACATCAAGTTCGCGAGGCCTATCTTACTTCGCAGTAATAAACCGTTAAATTAAGTGAGCCAAATTATAAAATAATGTATGAGTAAACGAGTTTTATTGTTGATTCATAGTGTTGCCAGACAGACGATTCTGAATACCCGTAAAGTACTACTCGCTTCCATTACGCACGTGTTCGAAATTAATAAAAGTCATTATCATCTGCTTAGCTTTTTCCCCGAATTGTTCGGGGTCGGCTACCTAAGCCAGACCAGGAGAAACGAAAATAAATAGGTAACTTGTAAAATTTTTTTGCGAGAGCCCCCTCGCGCCGACGCCTAGCGCCGCCACTGCTCACAGGATAACTTAAGTGATAGTGAATAAGTTAGGTAGTTTCATTTGATGTTGTTTTGTATGTAATGACTTTTTGAATATTTTACTTCTCTTGTTTTTGTCTTTCTTCATAAAAAAAACGTAAAATGTGTTTATTTATTATGTATTATTTAAGTATAACAAACATTATATCGAACAATCTTCTTTTAAGCTTTAATATTATCATTGGTGCTGTAAGAATTTAAGCTTTGTATTTTTTGTACATATTGTTTAATATTTGTTTTTGTTATAATTTTAGATATGTTCTTTTTTATATTTTAAGCTAGCATTGTACCTACCTAAGTATTTAAACATTTTTTCATTTACTTATATTTTAATAACTATTAAACAAATATTTATAAATGTGTGTTATTTTGTAGAAATTATATCAATATTTTATGGAACCACTATTCTCTGTTTTCTTACCCCAAATCATCTCTGTTATTCGCATAATACCCTAGTTACCTGACATCATTTTTATTTTAAAGTCCGGTTCTAAGTAAAAAAGTGTTTTAAAAGATTCTGTTAATACAGAACAATGTAAACTAACTACGTAATTAGTTCCTGGTACCCTAATCAATGCTTTTTTTAAAGGGGGCACGTAAAACCCCAAACCATTATCTCTTTATCCGCATAATTAATATCCTAATGACCTGACATCATTATTACTTTAAAGTCATCTGATGATAACAAAAAAAGGTTTTAAAAGATTCTGATAGTACAGAACAATGTAGACCAACTACGTAATTAGTTCCTAGTACCCTAATCGACGCTTTTTCTTAGAATTGTAATTATAATCCCATTAGGATTAGTCAACATTTTTTTTCTGAACTGTTTAACAGGCAAAATTGCTGTTTGGAGCAGCTAAAAATAGATTAGGATGTTAGTACACAATGCACTTATGCCAACTTAAGTCATTATAAGGCAGGGTCAAGCAGTTCCTGGGAGATATTTAGTACTTTAGGTCTTGTTTCATACAAAAAAAACACAAATTATTTTTTATAGCCAAACTTTTAGGTTTAATGAAAAATGTTATTTAACATGTCTTTACGAGTGTCCGAAGGACCATCGATCGGCATCCAAAAAAATACGATTTGTCAAAAAAACTATGTCCCTCATATTACTCTTCCGACCCACTGTGCGGCTGATGGCTTGGGGCCTAGGGGCCGAGTTGCAAATCCGCCACTGTGGATGTATCATACCCACAGATTACGAAAATGATTTAAAACTAAAACTTTTTATTTTATTCTCCAGGGACGGCGAAGTATAATAATTGTTTACTTTTATGCAAGAATATTCATCAATTTTATTGTTACAACTGTCACATGGCCAAAATTTTAAGAAAAACAATATTTAAATAAAAACAATGGTGGGGTTGTTAAGAAATAGATAATAAAACATGTATCTGTAATAAATATATATATTATTATAATTACATGACTATTCGATACAGACAGTCTAGACACAACAAGAACTCAATACATGTTATACAAATTGTTCATTAAGTTTCAGTAAAACATGAATATAATTTAATCAATTAATATATCATATGAATTAAACAAAGTATTATATTTTACTGAAAATAAATGATTATGGCAGAATTTCATAATGCAATACACATAATTATGTGGTCTTCAAACATAATATTTCATTAATCTTTTATTTGATCAAAACAATCAACAAATTTCAGGAATGATGAATAATACTTTACCAATTATTAAAAACTTCTTGACTAAAGACAAACTTCAAGAAATTTCTATCTAAACCTAAAGAGGAATTGTATTTTTTCTTCCAAAATGCATGATATTATTGAAATGCAAGTTTATTATCTATGTTCTTAAAATAAGCACCCCTAATGATCTGAGAATATAATGAAATCCATATAAAATGAACTTAAAAATAATGTGAAAACTTGTTTCCTTATATAATATTTTAATAATATAATTATGTTTGGCAAATATATATCTTATTCATACTGTTTTTTTTTGTTCTGAGCAGATTACACACATATGTATTATCTTTGAAAAAATGTTATTCTGAATTTGTCATTTAAAAAGATACTACAATTTCAAGCTCAATTAAAGCTTGTAAAATCTAAGTTTTTATTAACTTAAGTTGAAAAATATGCACAAACTTCAAACTTAATTGAAGTGTGTGTGATTAAACTCATCTTTCCAATACTAACTGAAGGATATCTTAAAAGATAAAATGGAATTACACAATTAAAGGGCTGTTGTTTTTATCACTCTCTTTGTAAAGCAGTAAGTACAAATACAATATCAGTGTAATCTGTTAGATATTGGATGCCATTCTAGGACTTACTGCTCATCCTTATCCTTAGCACCGTGTTTCAGGATGCGAGTAAACTCCACATAGTCAAATAAACCCTCACGAATGGGTGCCTCGCGTAGCATTTCATCAACATCATCATCAGTGAAGCGGTCCCCCATAGTTGTAAGAAGTTCACGAAGGCGTTCCTCAGCAATTAAACCCATATTCTCTTCATCAAAACATCTACAAGAACATTGTTTATAAATAATCATGAAATAACAAAGTGAACTCTATTCTTTAAAGTAAAACATATAAAATTTTATAAATTTAGAACAAAAATATACCCTTTAAGAATAGAAATCCAGTAACTATCATTTCAACTATGGAGATTTCAAATATTACATATAGAAGAAAAATATTATTACCCAAAAGCATTCTTTATGACATCTTCAGGATCTGTGCCTTGGAGTCTTTCGCCAAATAAAGTCAAAAACATAGTAAAGTTAATTGGCCCTGGAGCTTCATTCATCATGCCTTCTAAATAATCTTCAGTTGGATTCTTACCTGTAATTTTTTATAAAATTATAAATATCTCTCTATTTATCAAATAGGTAATACAAAGAACAGGAGACACAAACCAAGAGATGCAAGCATGTCATGAAGGTCCTCCTTATCCACAAAACCGTCTCGGTTTTGGTCAATCATATTAAATGCCTCTTTGAACTCAGCAATCTGTGCCTGATCAAACATAGCAAACACATTGGAAGTGGCACGCTGAGCGCGCTTCTTGTTGGTGCCGCGGCGACCAGCTGTCTTGCGGGATGACATGGTGATTCTGTGGATAATATTACAAAGGTGAGGCTACTCACAATACGACAAGCCAACGTATGAAAGATCAACTACTAAACAGTGTTGACGCCTGAAATGACTAAGCCAATATTTTAAACAACGAACTACCACACTTGCTCAAACCTAAAGCTAAAGAACGCAGGTGACTCATCTGTGTGAAAACCGAGACAAACTAAGCCAACTGCTTTTCGTTAAAACTAGGGCAGGGCTCTCGCTCGATGTCACAATCAAACAACCGTCCAAACATTTCCTTTTATGGCTGTGTATTTCTACAATATTACACATGTTTTCAAAGATGAAATATTTTGCAGTGTGTCAATACATACTTAGGAATTGGTTGGTAGAGAGAAGTCAAATTAAAGATAAGTTTAAATTAACTTAGTTCTTTTCAAAAATGATTCACTAGCACGTCACAAAACGAAATTCTAAAATGAAATTCCTGTTTCCACTCCACAGATTACAATAAAAAATGAGCCTGTGTCAAATTGTCATGTTTGAGGAATTAATGGTTTTGCTAGTACTGGCAACACTAAATAAAGATGGGCGTTTTTATCGGACTTTTTGGCGGGAAGTCAAACTAGGCGCGCGCTTCTTTCTTTCCTCAAATATTAATTAATTTTATTGACTTTCTAATTCAACTTTTCTTGGAAAAAACCTTTCAACAACAAGATGGGTCCCCCCAGCGATGGGGAGGACCAGAGGGTACCAAAAAGCGAAAGTTATCCAGTAATGCAGCGGCGAGCACCACTGTATCTACTGATAAGTATAAAGTTTATACCAAACACAATTATAAACGACAATTTATAGAGAATCAGTCAGGAGAATACACAGTATTTGTAGAATCGACTCAACAGGAAAAACTAGGAAACAAAAACCCTATTACTATTACCAAATTATTCACTGAAAATATTAAAGGAATAGCTGGCGTTTATAGAGTCAACGCCCACAAAATAGGTGTAACTTTTAAAAAACCATCCATGGCAAATTCTTTCATCAAAATGGAAGATTTTCTGGCCAAGCATAAAATGCGCGCTTTCGTCCCAGCCTATTTAACAGAGACTATTGGTATTTTAAAATACGTGCTTAAAGAGCTCTCCAATGAGGAAATTTATAAAAACATCACTTGTGACGCTGAAGTAATATCAGTAAAGCGTTTTATGAAGAAAACTGATGACGGCCTTATCCCATTGACCACTGTAGCAGTCACCTTTGCGACAACATCACTGCCTGAATATGCATATATTCAATTATATAGATACCGTGTTCACCAATACATACCACCTGTACTTCAATGTTTTAAATGTTTGAGATACAACCACTCAGCCAAGGTTTGCAGAGGCAACCAGACTTGTTCGTCCTGTGCTGGACAACATTCATACAAAGAATGTGTCTATGAGTCTATACAAAATATATCAATATCAGAAAAGAAGAATATCAGAATTTTTAAGAAGATTTGAATGACAAAACGGCGTGGTCATGATTTCTCCATTGTTTTTGCTTTGTAATTGTTTGCAGTGTCCTACAGATAAATGACTTTAAGTTTAAGTAAATATGTTGTGATTGATATAGGTGGTTATAGGTAGTCATGCTCTCTTAAAAGTCTCTTTGGTGGTGTCGTGTGAGGCGGGTCGTTACGTTCCCTAAAATATGGTTGAGCGAAGCGATGGCTGGTTCATGCGTCATGCTCGTGAACGGGTGCTGCCAGCGGAGATGAGTCTGCCCTAACTACTTTGATATTTAAGATGTAAATGTTTAATTACACCTATTATAAATAACTGTTTGTATTTATACTGTGTGACACAGCAATCAAAATGCAGGTGAACAATTAATGTATAATTTCACATTATGTAATGAAAGGTGACTTCATGAATTACCTCTGAAGTCATTTTTCAACTTGACGGCACTGTAAATGATAAAACAGGGAGAAAAAAACAGCCCTTGCTGAGTTTCTTGCAGGTTCTTCTCAGTACAAGGTCTCCCGCCGTAGATTTACGAACCGATGGCGTAGCTTCTAGACATTCATATGTGCTTGTAACAGCCTAAACTGAATAAATGATTTTGATTATCCATTAACGGCATCCTGTCGCATCGGATGCGCGCATCGTTATTCCCACCCCTACCATATTGTGGGTGTCGAGGTGATGAAATTAACTAATGAATGGCCACAATGGAGAAATTCACTGCCGTAAAACTTTAAACAAAAAAAAATGGGTGCTGAGGGGTTTTTGGCAGAATTTCATCGAGTGCGGTTGACGTCTTATTTTAATTATTCATATTCGTTCATAGTGGACATTGAAAAATAGAATTGGTGTGATTTTGTGTTACAACCGTCTGCGCAACTGAAGAATTAATGGAATCTTTAAAATATACGCTATTGCGGTCAAGTGGACGTGAGAACTTTATTATAGTGTTGATTACCTCACATAAGCTTATCGAAAAAGCCAACTCGATACATTGCGTGCCGAACACTCCAAGAAACATTAGAATGCGTCATATCGACATTCTAATGTAAAAAAAAAGAATATTTATATAACTAGACTAGGCTGTATGGGCATTATTACTTTTGACTTCCCTAAAATGGGAGAATCTTAAAAAAAAAAGTGGCTGCTGTCACTGACAGACAGCTGCTAAATTACAAAACAAAACAGCCTTCAAAAACCCACTAAAAATGACCAAAGTAAAGTTAAATATGCAATTGGAGTGCATTAGAATCTAAATTAACATCGATTGATCTTGAAAGGTGAACTTTAGATATCATAGTGCCTATAAAAAAAATATATAAGAATGCTTCTTAACTGTTCTCTCGTTTTTTCGTAGATGTTATGTCAGCGAAAATCACGACCAGCAATCATCAGTCTGGTACGATTCTTGAGCACATCTTTCAAGGTTAACGCCAGCCACTACGACGTTCTTGGAGTTACGCCTAAAGCTACACAGAGCGATATTAAGTCTGCATACTATAAATTATCCAAACTTTATCATCCAGATATATCTAGTGTATGTAATAACTAATATCATTTATAAAATACAATATTCCATACATTCATAAATTTCACCAACATTAATTACTACTATTCTGCATCTTCTCCATCAAGGACTAACTGATGTAAATAATTTATATATTAGTATTGTTATGTTCCGCATTAGTTTGTTTATAAATAATTTACTTGAAATTTATAACAATTACCTTGAGTTATACCTTCTAAAAAGGTAATTATTGATTTTTGACAGGATGAAGCTTCTGCAAAAAAGTTCAGATCAATAACAGAGGCTTATGAAGTTTTGGGAAATATCAAATTAAAAAAGATGTATGACAGAGGTATTATAATTACAATAGATTATAGTAAAAAATTATATCGACAGTGGAAAAGCAAAATTGCTTATACGCCACTTTGGTGCTGCTTAAAAATTAACCTTAAATAGTAGTGAAATTAAGTCAATCTTAATTGCTTTTCCACTGTCGATATGATCAGGGGTGTATTTGCCCTAGGGCCAAAATGGATGCAAATCTATAATGACCTGGGCCACCAGGTTTTAAAGAACGCCCCTGATTATGATCTCTAAATGTATTTAACTTTAATAAAACATACATTCTGAATATCATATGTTTGTTTAAAGGACTTATGGTAGGCACCCATAACACATCTAGAATGGATTATAGACCAGAACCTGAGCCAGATGATCCGACAGTAAAATTCTATAAATCCAGAATTAATCGTCATGTAGCTCCCACTATGGATGGGAAAACACCTATATATAACTTTGATGCATGGTATGGTATTTAATTTGCTTTTCTAAATCTCTAATATTTTTACAATGCCTTATTTATATTACAGAGTGAAAAGGAGAGATTGCTGTTAAATTTAGTTATAATTTTATAGAATCAATAATGCCAGAATCGACACCTATGATTAGGTTAATTTTATTTTTAAAGTTATATTGAATGTTGTGACTAATATTTTTAATTGCCTCTTATTTGAAGTTTTTTTATAAGAAACACCCATTACAGTATCTCTTTAATTTTTATATTCTCTACTTTCAGGTCCAAGAGTCATTATGAAGATTTATTTCAAAGATCAAAACAGGAAAAGCAAACTATAAAAAGTATGAAACGTAAACAAGATGAACATAGGCATGCACATAAGCAAGAAGCTATTATCTATCTTATACTTTTGGTGTGTTGTTTATTTGCTTTTCTTGTACTGAATGGATTGGATGATTATGATAGTGTCAAAACCACAACAAACACTGAAAGAAAAAAGGATTATAAATCATAATGATAACTAAAATACTAGGAGAATGTCTAAATTGAAAATAAAATAATGTGTACATCAAAGATAATATACATAATTTATTTTAAATTGTTTTATTAGTTTATGTTACTTTGTGATAATAATAAATAAAATGGAACTAGGAATTTCTGATTTTATTTTTTATTAAGATTTCTTTATTGACCCATTGTCCTTAAAGAACAATCAGGCTTGTTTATTACATTTCAAATAAAGGTCATGGCTTTTGTTACTCTAAATAAAAGTCATATCACTAATGAGCTTGTTTATTTATATTTGATCTAAATAAATCACATAATTTTATACAAAAAATAGGTCTTCAAATTATTGTTGTTAGCAATCTGTATAGTACAATGCATTTGTGTATGTAATAATTGAAATTATTTAAAAAAGACGCCTTCAATACACATTTTTGTACAGTTCAGTGATGGAGCCAACTAATCTTGGTTGATTTGAAAAAGTGTGGCGAACAAACGTATGGCCCACCTGATGGTAAGCGGCCACCATTGATGCTTGCGATACCAAAAATATCACTCGCGTCGTTGCCTACCCTGACCCATTCCTCTACCCTGTGGAGCCTTGGAACCTTACTCACCGGCAGAAACACAACACCACCAGAAGGTAGTGTTATTTTACTGCAGTTTTCTGCAAGGTGAAGGTTACTTCCCCAGACGAGCACTCCGATTCGAGCAGAAAGACTGCTACCTACCTCTTAAATTTATTTATGGTATACATAACCATTCAGAAAAACCACTATTATGCTTAATTGAAGGCAAAAGCTGGGTTGGGCAAAACTAGAGATCTCAGTTTAATAATCTTCTACTTCTTTATACAATTAGTGATCTCATCTGCACAGCAATCCAGCAGCTGAATTTAAACACAATACGAGTGTGTTCCTCAGTAGGTTGGTTTCTCATTACGACACTACTATAAAGTTAGGCCACAGCAGGTCGACGCATCACATGTCGCACCATAAATTCAACGAATCGGGTGTACAACACGCATTTAGGGGTGTATTTTAAAATCTGGCGGCCCGAGCCATTTAGGATTCGAAAATAGCCTACGATTTTTACATACGATTTTTTGCATTGCACTTTGCTAGATCTATATTTCAACTATGTAACTAAATAAATATCGAATATGCTAATTGTAGGGTATCCTTTATTCTTCAATAACAAACTTATTTCTCAAGCATAACAAAAAGCAACCTATATTTTAAATCTTTATATTATGGTGAATCCAAAACATAATTTTATAGCACTGCAAACAGTGGAAGGATTTCTACAAGGCTATTAGTGCTTGCTTGTATTCAGGGCCGACGCCCACTGACGCGGCAAGCTCCGCTGTCCTTTCAACCTTATACCAATTAATTTGCTTTTCTTTGAAAAGTTGCCTTGTCTCGCGGAATACAGTGGCGCCCGCGGCGACCTTCTGATTTAAACGGCATGATACGAGAAGCTACTTTCTCATTGAGTAGAAAAAGTGTGAACAATAAGGTCGAAAATAACATCATCGTAAATAAAATTGTTTCCTCCATAAAAGAACATGAAAACCTACCTATTACAAACCTACATTTTCATGATCATCATTTAATTACATGGTTATTCTATTAGATTGGTGATTTTCTTATTAACATTTTAAAGTTTCTTAAAAGTACCTAATTATTTTCTTTACTTTTTTCTCTACAAAGCACCAGCATCAATTGGACTGTTCAAAATATTATACTGAAAATACATGTCGTAATTGCATATAAATTATTATATATAATAGAAATACGGCAAGTGCTTAAAATTGAAAGAGATGGGAAAAAGCGAAATATTTATGTTTAGACAGTTCTTATTTGCACGGAGCGTGGTAGTAAGCCTTCAGCAGACTCCAAATTTATATGAGATGTAGTGCACTTAATTGTACTTAAGTATATCATTTGACAAAAAAACATGAATTTATTATTTCCCCATTTTAAAAAAAAGAATTATTATAATGTTAAATTATATAATAATTGATTGGCATATGGCTAGTTTATAAATCTTTTGTTGCCAAAGCATCAAATATATTCTATTCATTAGGTATCTAAAGCAGTAATAATTATTCTGCTTATCTTTTATTACATTATTAGGTATTTTATTTTAAGAAAAATATCATATCATAAATTGGTATAATAAGTTTACCACGATTTCACAAATATCATCCATAACTAGACTCATACTGATAGACATTTGCCATTGTGATTGCGTTGACGTTATGCTACACTAAAAATATGAATTTGCTTATGACAGGGTGGCCAGCGTCCTTACAAAATTATTCCATTTTTAAACATGATTTATAATAAATCAGAGATAAATAAAAAATTCAAAGTATCGGTTCATGTTATACATTATAATATCAAAAAAGGTTTCAAATGATATATGTTTTGTCACTGCCGGAAACCAACTACCACTTTTGAAACAACTCCTCTGCTTTTAAAACTTTATAAAAGAAATATATAATTGCTTAAATATAAAATCCTATACAGCAGACATATGTGTTTTTATATTTATTACAATTTTATTATATACAATGCAAAACTGCATTAAGGGTGTACATATTCCATTCCATCATACATTTCCAGATTCTGCATTGTTATAGAATTATAGATCATGAAAGTTTACCAAAATTGCCCTCTGGCTTTTGTTTGCTCCCGTCCAGCATGTTATAAAATGTGGTAAAATTATTTCTTATCACTTTCTATTTTAGATCACTTATACACAGCAGCATACATATAATAGTATCATCTAATAATTTGTATTTGTGAATTTACTCAATGCAGATAAATATATATATTTGTAATTAATTTTTAATTCATAACCCTATATTGACACAACTTTCAAATATTGATTGATCACGATATAATCACACCTTTTACATTCACTATACATAACCAGCATAAAGATTCTCTCTCATATAGTCTAAATTAATTTAAAACATTTAACTCTATACAATCTCCGTTGGTTATTGTAATATTAGAATATTGTCTAAATAAAAATGTTTTAACAAAAATTAATTTGTGATAATATCCATACTTCATTTAGTAACAATTAATTAAGTTACTATTGGAACATGCTAACTAGGTTACTACATTTGATCATGTGAAGATTTCTAAACCACCAGAATACACTCATTGTCATCTTGAATTGTCCATCAGCTCTTACATATGAAACTCAAAAATGATTTCCATACATGCCTGGCATTGGCATGTTTAGGGGACCAACTGGATATGGCACGTTTGGGACACTCGGAGGTCCATAGCTTGGATATGGCAAGTAAGGTTTTGAGAAACCATTTCCATATGATGTTTGGCCAGTTCTGATAAGTTCACTCATTTTTTCAGCTTTAAACTTCTTGAGATGCATCTTTGTTCGAATAGGCTCAAAGTCTTCTAGAAATTTTTCTGCATCTATTTTACCTGAAAGAAAATCTTGTGCAATGTTTTCCGATTCCTCTTCAGTTTCAGCAGCTGAAGTCTGCAGTAATGCTAATGTTGTATCGGCTGATATTCCTGCTGACTTTGATTCTGAAAATGCGATGAACTTCAATTCAATTTATTTGTATTTATTAAGGTACAAATAATGGTGTTACAAATTGTATCTTAACCTATTTAGTCATATAAAGATAACATGCAAATTTTTCTATTCAATTACAGTAGAATCCGTTTATTATGACTCCGCCTATATTGACCAACCGCCTATTATGACGTAATTACACAAAGTTTGGTTTTGATATAAAATTCATTGTAACAATGTCGGATATAATGACTTCGCTTACAGTGACATGTCGCTTATTATGACCCATTTTTAATCAATTTTGTGCGTTTATACTGACCGACATGGTACTTTACACCTTCGGTAATGTTCGTTGATGCCCGACAACGTTCGGCATGTGGCTCGTTTTTGTTTTAAAATGTTATCTTAAGCATTTACGACTGAGGAAAATGGTGCAATAATATGCTGATTAGAAAATGGAGAATCAAACTCATCTCACAATCTTCTTTCACAAAAATGCTTTGTATGACGTCTGCTTAGTATGACGTGTTTGTAGATTCCCTTCGAAGTCATAATAAACGGATTGTACTGTACCTATTCTGTAATTCTTATTTTAATATTATAATTATTTGATGTTGTCAATTTATCATGTCAATAATTATGTGAATGTCAAAATTAAAATGATCTTGTAAAGAATCAAAATTAAATGTTATATCTAAACCCATTAAGCATGTCTTCAACCCATGCATCAAATCCAATTTTAATTCATAATTCATGAACTCAACCATACTGTTCTGTGTTTTCATTAAAATGGATCACCATTTTTTTTACCAGTAGGCTAATTATGTAAAACTACTGATACCTTTCATTTCATAGTTGGAAACAAGGTAATGCACAATAGGGTTTTAGACAGTGTTAAAATAAAGTGCCAATTGTTGGCATCTGTGTTTAGAATGAATATTGGCAGGGGTTTTTACTATTTTTACAAAAAAAAATATTCATAATTTTACTAAAAACTAACGAGAAAGATAATAGTTTTCTTATTTATTGTCACGTGACTCAAAACGCTTGGGATTAGCCGAGCCTAAAATGACATCACACGCAAGTAAACTTCCGGTTACAGTGACATTACATTGTATCGTTTGACGTTTTAATAACAGTTGTGTGACGTCACACACTAGTAAGACGCCATATTGCCCAGAGAAACGTTTTCGCCGCAACTTGAAAATGGAGTTTTTTATTTGGTTATTTTTACTGAAATACACAACAGAATGATGAATATCCACTTTTTACAGACTCCATAAACATTAATCAATAATGTGAGATTGTTTTCTAAATCTTGTCAAATACCCTATTGACTTTGTAAAAAATACTGAAATAAGTAAATAAATTAAGAAATTTGGTTCTTATTGAAAAACATTAACTATTTTATTACTTTCATAGAAAGTCAGAAATAAATAAAATCTTTTAAATTCAAAAAGGGAAAACAGATACACAGCATGACATATTGTTTGAGAGTTATAAACATGAAAATTTCTATGATTATACTTTCTTTAGAGTGGTATATAAATGCAATTTATAAATTAGACAACTAATCTTTTGTTTCAGACAAATGCAAAATTTTACAAAACAAAATACTTACTGTACTCTTCTAATAATTCCTGAATATGTGTGCACAGTCTTTCACCACTCTCTGACTTCTCCAACACTTGTTGTTTCATTTTCTCTAATTCTGGCTCTTTAGTTAAATTGAACTCTGCTAAAGACCTATTGCTTGCTATTATCATTTCTTTCTCAGCTTCCCATTCTTTTACCTAGAATAGTTGAATAGATGCATTACTAAATTTATCTCTATTTGTTAACATAGGTACAAACAATCAATAGTTTTTAAAATGAGATATTTATGGAGTCTTTTCATAACAAATTGAAAATGAGATAAACTACCTTTAGAATATTTATATTCTGTTCATGTTCATTTATATTTCCTATGAGTCATTATCATGCATGAGATAATAATTATTATTTGTAACTGTCATATCTTTAGCAAAACATTTATTTAAAGCTTAGATACATGTAATATAGTTTCATGAGAAACAAACTGACGTGTATTACACAAGGTTGTCTAGTATACGTATAGTCATGTATTTGGCCTGTTATTCATTTCATGTATACCTGCTCCACATCCTTCAGGACTGCGTCAAATTTGTTGTCGTCGTTTAAAATTTCTTTCAGCTCGTCGGTGTTCAAATGAGACAATAAACCCATTGCTGCAGACATGTCTGGCTGAATCATTTTGAATTTCCAGCTGGTAGGCCCTTGTTTATTTCGTAAGATATAAAAAAAGCTTAAGTGCACTTATCACACAAACAATGACACAAGTGACAAGTCCGAAATGGTTTGGGGATCAAAGAGTAGTATTTATTCGATGGAAAACGAAAAACAATTCATTTTCTTGTCATCTCCATCACTGTCAATGTCATGTCTACATGTCATGATTTTTTTAAGATTCTTCCTTTTTAGGGAAGACAAAAAGAACAATGCCCATATAGCCTAGTCGAAGTTATATTGGTTGCTTTCCTATTACAGCATTATTGCGCATTATGCGGCATAATGCTTAACGTTGAGTGTTCCAACTAGAGATGTAACGACTTGACTTTTCAAACCGGTTCAAACCGGTTTGAGCATGGACCGAGTTGAATCGGTTAACGTCTTCGTAAACCGGTTGTACCGTGGCATTCGTTCGTATCGCGCTGCGCGCATGCGCGCCTGTCTGTTGTTTATGCCGCCATCCACAAATCGCGTGCGGCTCCTGACGTGCTTTACCGACCCTAATAAAACTTGACCGACCAATACGAACCGACTTACAGCAGCGGATACGGTTAGCGCGCATCGACAATTTAAATACAACAGCCATAACCGACTTACCGACCGAACCGAAATGAAACGGACTCTGGTAGATTTGACTAACTTGACGGTGTAATTTTGTTTTCATTATTATGTAATATGCGACGTTATTGCCCAGCTTCTAAAAAAATAGACCAAATATTATTCCTAAATAGTTGTAAGAAAACTTTTTAATTGTTGTTTGTACCAAATAAAGTTTCTACGACTGAAATGATTTTACAAAAATAAGTTACGTATTTATTATATTGTTGATTATTAAAATTGTATTTTATTCTCAAAGTTAAGAAGTACGGTTTTATGTAATTAATAGAGTTTATATATTTTTTTGTATTTTTTTAAACACGGTATTACATAGATATTTGTTTATTTTTATTTTGACATTTTTAATTCTGATTATTATTATTTGTTTTCATATTTTAATTGTTATTTTTCAATTACCTTTAAATATTTGCACGATGTAATATCAATAAAATATGTAGAATTAAAAAAAAATAGCACCTGTTGCTTCGTAAGTTTCATTCGTCAACTCGTCAAACGGTTCAAACCGGTTCAAACCGCGGTTTACTGAAAATTTGGCGGTTCGGTTCGGAAACCGATTTGCATGTATTACTAACCGATCAAATCCGGTTTGTCAAAATTCAAGACCGTAACATCACTAGTTCCAACTACAGCAACGCTTCGCACAATTGAGCACTCTCAAAAGTGATGCTTTCGTGTGGTGCGTGCAATGGTACCAACTTAGAGAAAGAAAATTAACAAGTGTTTTTTCTTTAAGTTGGCATTGATCGAAATGTTTTATTTATATGTTATCGTTAGTAATATTATTTATTGTTGAAAAATTATTAAAGCTTTCGTTTCATTAAATAGTTTTTTTTAAATAATCAAAGTTAATTCAAACTGTTAAAAAATAAATATAAGTATGGATGAAGGTACGTACATTGACTTTTTTTTTCAACACTGAACTTAGCGCACTCTGTTGGTGCATTTGAAAACTAATTCACGTTCCAATTAAGCATCAGCATAATTCGGCATTGTGCGGCACTGAGTCGCATTATGCTCTGTAATTGGAAAGCATACATTGGTAGCTTTCCAATTACAGCATTATGCGGCATAATGCTTAACGTTGAGTGTTCCAACTACAACAACGCTTCACACAATTGAGCACTCTCAAAAGTGATGCTTTCGTGTGATGCGTGCAATCGTACCAACTTAGAGACAGAAAATTAACAAGTGTTTTTTCTTTAAGTTGGCATTGATCGAAATGTTTTATTTATATGTTATCGTTAGTAATATTATTTATTGTTGAAAAATTATTAAAGCTTTCGTTTCATTAAATAGTTTTTTTAAATAATCAAAGTTCATTCAAACTGTTAAAAAATAAATATAAGTATGGATGAAGGTACAAACATTGACTTTTTTTTCTACACTGAACTTAGCGCACTCTGCTGGTGCATTTGAAAACTAATTCACGTTCCAATTAAGCATCAGCATAATTCAGCATTGTGCGGCACTGAGTCGCATTATGCTCTGTAATTGGAAAGCAACGTTAATCTTCTTTTTTGACATTAGAATGTCGGTATGACGTATTATAATGTTTCTTGGAGTATTTGGCATGAAATGTATCGAGTTAGCTTTTTCGATGAGATTCTCTCAGGTAGTCAACACTACAATAAAATTCTCACGTCCACTTGACCGGAAAAGCGTATGCTTTAAAAATTCCAATAATTCTTAAGTTCTTCAGACGGTTGTAACACAAAATTACACCAATTTTATTTCACAATATCCACTTTAAACGAATTTAAGAATAATTAAAATAAGACGCAAACCGCACTTGATGTAATCGCGCCAAAAAACTCTACATGTCAGTGTCAAATCAAAGGTTTTTCTTTAACTTATTCTAATTTTAAGGCATAGTATATTTATTTTTTATAGATTCAAATGAGACTGTGAAGATATCTTGTTTATTGTCTTCATAAAGTAAATGATTAAAAAAGTATCACCATCTGTCACGTAAATCTCAAGTTGACATTGACATTGACACAGTTATAGACGACTCCACTGAGCAACTAATTTGGGTTTCGTCGATTCGTACATAAAATTAGATTTCTTTTAACAACAAATGTTTACTAAAATGGATTTTACTTTACATTCATAGAACAATAAAATAAAACAGCTTTACATGCAGCTAAAGTGAATGTATTTCTAGTCAGAAATGTTAAGTTTAAGTTATTTATATAATTTTGAATATTTGTATAGTTTTTACATAAAATTCTTAGCAGATACAGTATTGTATCTTCAGAATTTTGCGTTGTATATTAGTTTATGGGTTCTGGGTTATTTGTTGGTGTGTTGTGTGGTGTATCGCAAGTACGCACGTCGCCTTCCAACGCGAACAAGAGGAGCACTTAGAGCGAAAAGAGTGTTGATCGTGGTAGCTCACCCAGACGACGAATGTATGTTTTTCGGACCAACAATATTCCGACTTTGTGAGCAGGGGGCTGATGTTTATTTACTTTGTTTGTCTAGTGGTATGTAATAAAAACTTACAAAATAAACTAAAACATATAAAATGTATTGAGCATGATTTTGTGCCTTTTCAGGCAACTTCGAAGGGAAAGGTAAAATTCGTAAGCAAGAGTTATGGAGAGCTTGCCAAGAACTTGGGGTACCAGAACAAAACGTCTGCCTGATCACAGACACAAGACTGCAAGATGATCCTAAACTACATTGGCCAGTCTCTGTCATTGCTAAGTTAATACAACATGACTTAGAAGCTTTAGAGATAGATACTTTAGTTATTTTTGATAGAGGTGGTGTGTCTTCCCATGCAAACCACTCGGCTATTTTCTATGCTGTTGCATACATGTTTGTTGAAAAACTCATGCCCAAAAGTAAGTCTAACTATATTTTCTTTTAAACATTCTGTGTATATAGTAAAAAATCTATATAGGCCCTACATCTAGTCATGCCATTTAGTTATGGAAATCTTATTTTTAATGTTAAAATCTTAATACTTAAAGTGGTATAGTTCTCTTTACTCAAAATTAAATTTAAAATCAGTATCTCATTCTGTATAGAGAACAACAACAATGATACACTGTTGTGAAATTTAATTTTAGGTTTAGAGAATCATGCCAGAATTGACACCATAGAAGTCATTAATGCGATAAAACAATAACAAATTATCTAGTAAAATGCGAGACCATCAATGTCTATAATCTTTTGAAGTTATTATATAAAAAATATTCATAAAATATTGTTTTTATTATTTTAGGGTGTTCAGTCTACACACTAGACTCAGTAAATATACTAAGAAAATATATAAGCTTCTTGGATATACCACTTAGTTTTGTGTTGTCTTCCAAAAGGTGAGTCTTTTGTCCTTGTTTTTGGTATTCTAAGGCCTGTATTATAGAAAGACTAGCAAACCAGTGAACCAAATGTTCACCAAAAAAAAAAAATGTATTTAATTAATTTAAACGTTTGAAATAGAAATCACGTGATTTCTCGAAAACCGGAAGTGCTACGTTACTCTCATCCGGTTTGAAGTCTTATCAGACTATTCTTAACTTATAACTTAAACATTCTCTATATCTATCTCTTACGGTTTGGCCGCTGAAACAGCACCACGGACGGACAGACGGACTTGTCTAATAGATAAGAGATTCTCAGTGATTGATGTAGTCTTGAGCATGTATATCATCACATATATATATAGCATATATATATTATGTTGCTATGTATATCACATAGCGATATCCCTTTGTAACTGTACTCAAGTAAAGATCAAGACTTAGTTGTTGTTCTGTAAGACGGGCCTTAATGTCTATCATTATTAGCCTGTTAAAGGCACAGGCCCTTTTTAACTTGCCTGGAATAAGAAGAATGGGTCATGTCATGATACACCATATAAGTGCAAATAAGTGGGTGCTAAAAACTGCTGTGAATGAAATTAACAATATGATGTGAAAAGAAAAAACATATCAACTTTTGTATAAGTATTAATCATGTTTTTATGTAACAACATAAATAATTAACAAGAACCTCACTTCAAACAAATTCACTTTGTGGCTTCAAAATAATTGGATAATGAAACAGATTTCTGAGGATCAAGAAAATCACGATTTTTTAGTTCCTTTTTATAGTAATTTTTGAAAGTATGAATCATTTTCCAATTTCCAGTTTCAAGTATTTGATCTATTGGAAAATTTTCTATAAAAATAAGGGACACCACAGCTGAACGCACAGACCCTGGAGTAGCTTCGATACCACTTACTTTCAAAAGCGATTTTACCCAACCGCTTATCACTGTTCTGGATGCAGGCTTTATTTCACCTCTAGCAGTGATAAACAAACTATCAAAATTTTTACGACATTCTTGAGAAATTTAAGGTAATTGTTGAATCCAAAATACAGGATTTAATTTATAGATAGGATGCTGTTTAAGCCTCCTTCCAGACTGTCTATGATCGGAAGTATCGGTATTTGAACCAAAGGCAGGCCATAGTAAAATGCTTCTATCATTAATTATTAAATTGTTAATACCTATGCGTAGCAATGTAAGATCGTGAACTCTACGCCCAGAGGCTAGTAATAACAATGTGGCAGTGTGCCTTGAAACATGATATAGATTATTTTCATCAAAACTATATGAACATAGGTAATCTATCAACAGTTTAGGATTCCAAATAGGTGGTTTAACTGGATTCTCTCTTGCTACCGATATGGCCTTCACCATATGTTTTACAAAGAAGTTAGAAGATAAATCTATTCTAGAGGTTAAATGTGTAAAGGTGGCAATCACAGATTTATGAACTAAAATGGTTCTATAAGCTAGACCAACGTCACAATGTAAGTGTGCTAAATAACGAGCGACCTGGTCTGCAATTGGATATTTGTAATCAACTGAATGAGCCTCACACCAGTTTTTCCATCGTCTCCACGCCGGTCTATAGGTGTTGAGGGTGGAGCCTCGCCAACTCGACATTAGCAGAGCTTGTTCTTCAGCAGTCCACTCTCTCAGCATGTCTTGCCACCCAAAATCAGCTATGCCTTCAAATGCAGGTCCTGTACTTCTGGTGGGTGGGTGCCCGTCCTCGTGTCTAAAAGGACTTGCGCTAAGTCTGGAATCAGAAAGGGAGGTTGTAGTTCCCGTCGTTGAACATCGGCTCGCCAATACACTTTGTTCCAATTCGGTGCGATCAAGATATATTGACCGCTGGCTTGGTTCAGGTGGCTGAGGACTCTGGGGATGAGATTCGGCGGCGGGAATAGCCACCCTAAGTGGTAATGCCACTGGTGACGGAAGGCGTTGTGATATTCCGCTCCCTGATCGCTCAAATCTATCGACACGTACCTCGATGCTACATATACTGTTCTGGAGGCAAACAGATCTTTCTCCGGCGTGCCCCACATTTGAAAAAATCTCATTGTAGCTGTTTCTAACAGGTGCCATTCGGGTTGGACTTTTCGGCGAGACAAGGCGTCGACTTCCGTGTTGAATCTGCCTGGGAAATACCGAGCTAAATTTTTTATTACAAAAATAAGAAAAAAAAATATAACTATTCTTAAAGAAAATAAAAATAAAAAAGAAATAAAACAAATAGAATACTTTTGAATGATTTAAAATGAAACCTCATATTTTTGACTCCACAAATCAATATTTTATTTAATACTATATGTATATTTAAATTGTCTAGAGTCTGAATCAGAAGCTGTGTTTGTTTTAAAAGTTTCTTTGACTTTGTACCGCCTTCTTTGTTTATGTAAGACACTACCGTTTTGTTGTCTGTCTGGAGAAGCACTTGAGCATCTTGAAGCTGAAGGGCTTGATGCTGGATCGCTGCATGAACAGCAAACATTTCCTTTTGGTTTGCGTGCCACGTAAGCTGTTGTGGTGCCCAATTCCCCTCGATACTTAAGTGGTCTAACTGCGCGCCCCATCCTATGTCGGATGCGTCCGTCGTTAACAAATGGGTTATCGCTTTTGGATGTACAGGTGTGAAACTTCCTATCGCTTTGTACCACCATTCCATCTCCTGTCGGACTTCCTGTGGAATGCTTATCTGACGAAACGGGTATTTTTTGGGTAATTGACGACTGAAGTATTGCAGGGTGCGACAATGAAGCCGTCCCCTTCTGGTTACAAATGAGGCAAAGTTGAGTCTCCCCATCAAGGTCTGGTATAGTCTGAGAGACCATTTGCCCTTCACAAGCTGCTGTCGAAGTGTTTTGCGTAGCGATAGGCACTTCTGCTCTGACAGGGACTTTGCGTTGCGTTTTGTGTCCCATGTGATGCCGAGGAACTCGAGGCATTGAGTCGGAGTTAAGACAAACTTGTCGTAGTTGACCACCCATCCGAGCGTTTGCATGGTTCTTACCGTGTACGCTATGTCCTCCTACAATTGCTGCTGGGATTGGTTTGCCAGAAGGAAATCGTCCAAATAAACCACGCACCTTATTCCACGACTTCGCAGGAATTCTGCCACCCAGTTGGTGATTGAAGCAAATGTCTTCGGCGCCGATGAAAGGCCAAACGGTAAACATGTCATTTGCAGCAGTTGGTGCTGATGAGGATCGTGATGATAGTTGAGTCTCAGGAATCTGCGATGCTGTTGAACAATTGGCACGTGAAAGTACGCTTGGCTTAGGTCTAGTTTCGCCAGCCAGTCCTGATCCTGCAGAAAATCCGGTACACGGAAATGATTGAAGAGTCGAAATGGTTTTGCAAGCACGAACTGATTTAACCTTCTGAGGTTGAAGATAGGTCGAAAGGTTCTGTCCGACTTGGTTACTAGAAAAAACGTTGACAAGTAGCTGGGACTCACTTCCGCTTCTTCTAAGACACCTGCTTCTAACATGGATTAGATCTGTGCAGACATCTGGTAAGACGTTTTGGTTCTGTAACATTTCATAACTGTTAAGCTCGGAAATATTAGTGGCGGCCTCAGTATGAAAGGTATGCGAACACCGTTTAATAGCTGACAATTTTTTTCTGGTGCTCCTAAGTTGCTCCAAACATACTGAAATCGAAAGAGACAGCCGCCTCGAAAGCGCTTCGAGTCATTCGTGACGTTTATCTTTAAAGGAAGGTCGGTTTTGGTGTTTCTTGACCTTTTGCTTGTCGCTAGTGTTAGGTCTGTTTCTTGACTGGCGGGTTGGACGAGGCGCATGTTTACCTCTCTTTGCGGAATAATTCCCACGAAAAAACGTATCATCATTCTGCTTGCTGGTCGATGGTTTAGGATTCTGGTAAACTGAATCCTTTGCTTGGACTTTAACAGTTGGTTTTGGGGGACGAAAACTTCTCAATCCCCCCCATTTTGTGAAGGTAGTTATGAAGTAACTCTTCATCAAAAAGTGACGTTGAACTAGGTGGGATTTTGTAAATAACATCACGGTGATACTCCTCGGATATGTGACGTAACAAGTTATCCCAACGAGTAGAAATAAGATCCGCCCGCCTTCCGCAAACTATTTGTAACAAGTCATCGGTCACTTTACTAAACGCGGATTCTTTCGAAAACGTGGTTTGTATTTTTTCAAATATAGAATCAAGCGCTAATGCCTCTTTAGAACTGTATGTCCAATCGACTAACGTTTATAATAATCTTTGTAACTCTTCTTTTTGAGTAAACAAGGCATTAGTCAAACCAGCAAATGACCGCTCTAATAAATATGAACGTGGGTCGTCCTTTAACATTTGACTTTCGAAACGCTTAAGCTCATCATTAACATTTAGTTCTACAAAACCGGGGGTAGTCAAATACTTCTTTTGAGCATCGGTAAAACGAATAGCATACCAATCATCACACTTAAAACGCTGTAATTCTGCCAATTTTTTCAAGAAACCTTCATTTGACTTTGGATAAACAGCAGCTTTTATAGTAGTACTCACATCCGATAAAATATTAAGCTTATAATTATTTTCCGACTCGGGGCGTCGTAAAATAACCTCATTTGAAGTAACGACTGAATTTTCTACATTTGAAACCGATTTATTGAGTGCATGTGGAATAGCAGTTGAATTTTCAATATTTGTATTCAAGTGTTTATTTTCTAAGTTTGCAGTAATAAGATTTGTCAAAACAGAAACTTGTTGTGATAAAAATGCAAAATGTGCGTAACTCACAGTTGGCGAATCTTTCCTGCCTTTTTACTCGAAGGGCCCGAGCTATCGCTCGTTTATGATTTGCTATCTTCGCTGCCAGAACCCGGTGCTGGAGAACGCACTCGTTTCCGGGGGTCAGATTTTTCAGCAACACTTTCTGAAAACGCTTTGTCACTTTCCCTATCTTGGTTCTCCACTATAAATATAGGAGAAGAAACCGAGTTATTTAAAATAACGATAATAAATTAACACTTTTTCGCGTAAATTTTATCGAAATTCTATGCTGACTTGTAAACGGCGCGAAAAACAACGCTATAATGGCAGACATTACCCGGTGCGCGGCAAAGTAAGTTCCGAGTCACGACATAGAGGGCGCCACAATCGGAGAGGAACCGGAAACGCTGATTTAAACGGTAGAAAGACAGGTGCTTGACTCAAGATGGATTCCGGATATTGATACGAAACAAATAATAATAATATATTTTATTTTAATAATAACAGTAAAGGCACAAATGAAAATTTTGTGTCAGACTGATGCCTGTTTCACAGGTCACTTGGTTTTTAAGAACAATTATTATAATACAAAAGTACAAAAATATCTAGGTCGATAGTGTTTATGACAAAAGGCAGTTTCGAAGTGTGTATGAGTTGAGAGAAAAGGTGTGTTATGTGTTACAAAGTGGTGTCACTGTGTGGTGTTGTATTATATGTTTTCAAGTTAAATTGCTATTCAGTTCAATGAAATTTCCCTAATAGGGATGATGATGGGTTACATTGAACCAATTTTTTTTTAGTCTGTCAGTTAAATTATCAAAAAATAATGGACATTTATTTTTCTTTGGTCAATCAACCAAACAATAACAAAGACATAGCATGTCAAAGTTTGGGAGCGGGTGATCATGGCGTCATTTCCCAGTAAAAAATGTTTATTTATTTATTTTCATTGTTCTGTTCATTTCTTAAATGTAACAAGATGTGATGGTTGATATCATGCAATATTTCAAATCGATATAATATTAACTGTAATTTTTTGATTATATGAATATATGAAAAAAGAAAAAATATGCATATATAAATATGTCCAATACTTTTAGTAATCTATCTGATGGACAAAGAAAAAACTAGCCAAGTGCGAGTCGGACTCGCGCAACTTCGCCGCCGAATGAAGAAGTATCCTATGCCTCAATCCAGGTCATAAACTATATGCATACCAAATTTCATCCAAATCCCTTCAGTAGTTATGCGTGATTGCGTAACAACATATAAACTTTCACATTTATAATATTACTAGTATGCAAACACTCAAAAACCATGTATTTTATACTATTTTTTATATTTCCAGATACTTCCTTCGGTGGACCGAAAGCAGACGCGTTGTTCGCGCGATGAAACACCATCATTCGCAAATGGTGTGGTTTCGTTACCTCTATGTTATTTTTTCTAGATACATGGTTATTAACACTCTCAGACGAATAAGTTTAGCTGACATAGAACTAGAACTAGAAGTGGATGACTGAGATTATGTATTTTTTTCCTGAACTGCATAGTTGGCGATATTGAATGCTATATATGCGTGGTAAAAAGTCAATGATTATACGTTTTTGGTTATTGATCTCAACAAAGGATAGAGATTTTAGCTTTGGCAGCGTATTACAAATATGATTGTGAACAGATTTCTATTATTTATAGCTATATGTTATATATAAAATTCTCGTGTCACAACGTTAGTTACCATACTCCTCCGAAACGGCTTTGATCGATTTTTATGAAATTTTATATGCATATGCATATGATCTGAGAATCGGCTACTATCTATTATATTTGTTATATCCCTAACATAAGGGTGACATCCCTAACGTAAGGGTGGACCACCCTTATCAGGGTTGTCCACCCCTAACATTTTTTGTTATTCTTTGGACATTTTTTTATTATTTTATAATATGGCATTAAAAAATACATACAACCCCTTAATTTTCACTTTCTACCACCAGCCCCTATTTTTATGGCGGTGCGAAGTTCGCTGGGTCAGCTAGTTTTTATATAAAAGTACAGAAAAAAATTGTTACTGCACAAAATACTCATAGGTTGTATAATTTGACATTGATATCGCATTTTATCATAATTTTATGAGCAGTGCCTAAAGTACAGGTGTGTATTTTTTTACTGTATTGCACATGTTGTCGATTACGATGCACCATTAATGGCGGATATGGAGTTAGCGCCATAGAGGTATAAGAATAGAGTAGGGGAGATAAAGACTCTACTACAACTGGAAGTGTCCCTCTAAGAGAAAGAGAAAGGAGATGAGAGACCGCTAGCTTTCCCTCTCTATTTCGATCTGATGCCATTGGATGCCATGCATCACAAGAGAGAGAGAAAGGTAGCGGTCTCTAATCTCCTTTCTCTTTCTACTCGACGAACACTTTTAGAGCCGCCTTCCCCACTCTATTCTTATACCTCTATGCTTAGCGCAAGTCGATGCACTGTGAACCAAATTTAAATGCACGTAGACATTACAGTGTGACATCATGTGGCAGACATTGATAGGAGGGCGCTGCTAGTGAATAAGAGGTGAAATGAGGATTGCTTAGTACTTACGTAAAATCTTCTCACTAAAGGAAATATTATAAATTATAATAACTCGGAAAGAGTAATATGAAATAAAAAAAAACATCTTTTTATTTGCTTAGTAACGCTTATTAACACTAATAAAAAGAAAAAAATATTGACAACCTTATTAACTAAGTGTAATAAACAATTACAGGTAAACACCTCACGCAAGAAAAATAAATTAAATTAATTAAGCTTAAACAACATAACTAAATAAAATAATTTTAAACATGATTTAAACAATTAAATAACGTCTACTCCTTAACTAGCCACTTCTAAATAAAAGTCTTATTTATATCTTCCTAAAATTTTATTTCCGATTTCGGCAACGCACCACAAGATATAAGTCGCACTGTATATTAGTCAACTGTAAAGTAAAACAAAAGAAAGAGTAAACGAGATGAAGCGATCGAGCGGTTCATAGTCCTTAGGTATTGGTTATTGTTCTTCCTTTATAGAGTTTTGTCAATTTTACGCGACCACCTGATTGTAACTGCGCGTAGTTACGTTTGCTGCTTATAAGTATATTTATAAAGAAATACATATAAAACATCTATGACTGGAGTAGAAATGCTCGAATTCATCACACAAACATCTGCCCCCACCTCTCGAGTATTTTTATTCAAAACAATATAAGTTACCACTCGTTATTGATGTGTAACATCTTTCCTCTCGCTTTCGTGCAATTTGTGGGAGACATCACGATGTGGGACGGAAGTGTGTAACAGAAAGCGCGCGCTATTTGATTTGATTTTAGAACATAATGTTCAAATAACTTATTCCATTTGTAGTAGGTTTTATTTATTTTTTTACTAATATAAGGTGAGGTTTCAAATGTTACACATCATACGCGAATACTGTAAGGCTCGCTCGTTTTTTTTATTGGTTCCTACATTTTAAAAGTGGACGTTTTTTTAAGTTTATTATAAAATATCTGATGTTGGACTTCCTATGTTAATTTCATACATTATATGTATGTTAGGTATATAAAAAGCATAATTTTCTACAAAGTTGAATAATTTTCATAATATATCATTGTTTTATATATTTTTTTACATGTTTGAGTATGTGTATTTTATTGAAATATGTAGATAATAGCCCGAGATCCGGCCGCAAAATTAACTAATTAAAAAAAACTAATTTAAAGGAATGATTAGTGAGTATACATTGCATTAATCACGGGTTGCCTAAAAAAAGGAGCCGCAAATACCTTTTATTTAATTTATTGACATCCTTTTTTATGAATTAGCCGCAGTCTTAGGGTTGCCACCTACGATATTAAATACCCTAGATACACTACGTGCGCTCAAAATGTGTCCCAATCAAGAAGTGCTTGAACATGACTCAAGCACTTCTTGGTTCACAGTCACGCGCAGACCGTTGAAAAGTCAACATGCCGCTGAGCTCCGTGAAAAAAATTGTGTGTGTCAGCTCCGACGCACGACTGGAGTTTACTCCTTAAGTTCGATAGTCTAACCAGACGCAAAAAGAGTTTATTTAACTTAAAAAAGATTGATACTGTATGAAAGGGTAAATTAACAAATTAATGAAAATAATATACATATATAAATATATATTTATTCATTTCATATACATTTATTATAACTAATCGACGAAATATTTTACATTAAACTTTTTACAATAGTAAATTTCAGATGTGTATAAATATATCATTAGGAATGTTGATAAATTATGTAATTATTATTATCAGACTATTATCATTTTTTTAAATATTAATTAAATGAACATTGTCTGCATTATTAATTACAGTGACAAGTGGTTTATGGTAACTAAAATAAGACACATGGACGTTCGTAGACACGTGGTTCACGAATCTTAAAAATACCGCATCAATGGTTATACCATACCTCGTTGTCCCCATTGCTCTATCAGAAACAATATCTAAATTCAGTTCAGATTTTAAAAATTTTATTAATGTCAATCCGTCATCTTTGTTTGTCAAAGTTGCGCGAGATAGGATGCGCACCAAAAACGTAACGAGGTCATTCATCGATAGATTTTACTCCTCACATTTTTCTCATACTGGGCCCCTTATAATATATGCAAATCGATTCTTAAGGAGTAAACTCCAAAAATGAGAAAAAAATACTTATAGTATGTAAAATGACGTTTTTTCGACAGGTCAATGTTTGTTAATTGAACGCATTTAAATAAATTTGTTTGAATACTTTCTATAAACTAATTAAACAGAAAATATTTGTAATATTCAAATGCATGGTCGGTAATTTAGCTCGCGTCTCTATTCCTCGCGGTCCGTACCTGCTATATTGCTAACAGTGCATTCAGAATTGCGAGTAGAGGCAAAGAAATAAGGTCTAAATTCTTCCGCATATAGCAATAAGTTGTAAAATATTACGAACTTACGTTTCGGACTGTCATAACTCCTTGACACATGCGTTTTAAGACCTTAAACACTATGCTTTAAAGGTGATTTTCTATGTTTAAATAATGACTTATATTCTTTAGACTATGCGATCATCTTACGGAGCTCCGTGGATCGTCCCAATGTATATCCTACCTTGTGGACAGGTTTTGGGCATGATTTTGTTCGTGTTGGTGTATCTAGGTATTTAATATTCATAATTGGTTGCCACGTGTAAACAGGTGGATTTTTGTGTGGATAATTTACTTTTCAAAATGACAGCGAAAATAAGGGTTTTATATGGATTTAAAGGGTGGGCCCGAGATGCTCAGTTTAAAGCATGTCAACCTCTACTTTCGGCCACCATTTTACTGGCAACCATGGATTATGTTCAGCGCATATGAAACTTAAATTTCAGTAAATCAACTAAAAACAGATAGCTATATCTATGTATCTCCATATCATACCTTTCAGAAGACGTAAATTTCATAAAAAATAAAGACATACAGATGCAATGCAAAACAAAACATATAGATGCAATTTTCATAAAAGATGGATGTCACTAAATTAAGGGTATTTGCGGCTACTTTTTTTAGGTATCACATGATTTATGCAATGTATACTCAATAATCATTCATTTAAATTAGGTTTCATCAAAAAACAGGCGGGTGCAGAATTTTGAGGCCGCATCTCGGGGCATAAAGTGCTACTTTTTTAAACGAATCGGAAATAACGATGCAAGGCATTCCCTTCCTCGCAGTCAGAAAGATGTTATGTCATCAAAATTATTTGATTCGTATCTATTGACACGAGTTGTATCAAACTCCTCTACGCACTGTCCATCTCATCACTTAAAAGGGCTCCTTTATCACCATCTCTTTTACGTGTATAGTGCTGTCTCGCAAGCTGGATCCATCAAGATGGATAGTGCGTACTTAAGATTAAGGTGTAGATCTGTAGATCTATTATATTATAAGTACTATTTGTCTTTTTCACTGCTCTGCTGATAATAGAAATCGTGATATGAAAACTGTCAATTCCACATGAGAATGAGCTTCAATGTTATTTGAAAGAATTTTATAGCAGGCATTTTTAAAAAGAATTGTTTCATTATCATTTTTTTTAAATGAAACCTAAGAAAATATAATCTATTGTGAGTAGTGCAATGCGTATGCGTAGTATCGAATGTCCGTTAAAGTAGCGCGATTCAATCTGTATAGTTATTGTGAAGTTAGCAGTGAGTGCAACAATGCGCAGCTTTAAGTTCAGTGACATTACTCGAATTCAGGCGCCTGAAGCAATATTTACACTCGAATACGGGCTGGAAGACGGTTTTGGGTAACCAAAACGAAAACTACCCGAATATGGGCGTACTCGACTCCGTTTATTTACACTTAGTCGTTTAACCGAATTCCATTGGCAATCGTATTCGGGCTAGCGATTAAGTGTTATTGATGCAATAATCTAGAAACATGTTTTTCTTCTGATAATGCCTGCTATTTTAGTTTTCTACTTTAAGATAATAATTGTTATTTTAGTTTACATACCTTTATAGTTTATTTTTTAAGAAAAAAGAAGAATTTTTGAACAGTACCCCTAGCACGAACCATTATCGAATTCGAATAGTTTGAGAGTCCGAAATGTCATTGTCAAATTTTGTATGGAAACTTGAACAGCAGCGCCATAACGGACGTAACGAGATCTGAAAATCAGTACATATTTGACAATGACATTTCGTACTCGCAAATGTTACGAATTCGATATTGGTTCGTGCTAATACTAAGGGTACTGTACTAGTTTTATTATAAGAAGGGATTTAATGTTAATTACAAACTTATGCTTCAACTTTAAATCAAGGATCAGGGATGTTTCATGTACAAATGAGAAATTTAAATATACCTTATAGATTTTATGTAAAGTTTGCAACTAAATTATAGAGGTCAACATTCTGCCGCTTTTTGGCGTCGTAGTAGGTATGCTTTCAGTCACACAAGACATAGACGAAGATAGAGAGAGACTTATTAAATTAGAGCTATTTAAGTATTATGAACCGTATTGTAGGGTTTGTTATCAAAATTGCTTCTCAGTATTCGCACATTCAGCCTGCGATACGATAAAATATTAAGAAAACTTAACCTTAATCATTTACGTTACGAACTGTGAAACAATAGATTTTGGCCAACCACAACCTAATGTTATTGTAATAAATATTTCAACTGAAATAGTTGAACGAAGAATTTGGCGGTTTAATTCTTAGAGGCCATAATCGTTTGCGTCTTTCCTTATAACTTTATAGAAATTCTTTGTCCTAATAATTTTATGCCAGGCTTACTTAAGGCACTCAAAATTCGACAGTCTAATGTTATATTTTACTACCACTTGATATTACATTCAGTGATTTTTAGGATATTCATGTTTCATCATTGATGTGCCTTTGTAACCACTATTCAAATAATCGAGAACACTGTCACTGCAAACTAGAACAAAAGTGCAATATGGCAATAATAAATTAATTTGATTGTCCTCTGCGCTTATTATTTTGCAACTCCCAATCTGTTAATTTAAAAGTGATGATGTAAGTACTATAGAAATTATTGTGAAATCTGTGACTTGAAGTCCGACCAAAGTCAGAGTACAGATGGAATACCTACCATATAAACTTAATGATGGCTGTTAGAGTTTGCGCAAGTAACTAACAGTAAACAATATGTAGTAGGTCGATGAAAGCGCGCGAGGTTTTTCATTGAACTGTAACCTTCATCATTATAAGCCGATGGATGTCCACTGCTGGACATAGGCCTCCTCAAGGGATTTCCATATGCAACGATCCTGCGCTCTCCGCATCCAGTGGGTCTCCCCGACTCGCTCGATGTCGTTAGTCCACCTTGTGGGAGGTCTACCGACACTGCACTTCCCGGTGCGAAGTCGGCATTGAAGAACCTTTGGACCCCAGCGTTTATCAGTTGGCCGAACTATGTGCCCCGCCCATTAACACTTCAGTTCTTCTTCGGATTTCCTCATTCCCAAATCGATCACGTAGAAAAACACCGAGCATAGCTCTTTCCATCGCTCGCTGTGCGGCTCTGAGCCTTCTTATGAGGCCCATAGTCAACGACCACGCCTCAGGTAAGTATGTCATCACTGGCAACAGGAAACCTTAGCACGAACCATTATTGAATTCGATCTCAATAAGCGTCAAATGTCAAGCAGTTTGGTAATGGAAATTTTAACAGCTCCACAACGGATGGAACGATAATCAAAAAAATCTTCCATACCAAACTTCTTCGCGATCAAATCAACCATTCGAATTCGATATTGGTTCATGCTAACCTTTAAGACACGATTTAAAGATTGGTTGACGATCGATAGTCTATCGATAGCCAACTAATCGTATGACAATTGATAGGTTTATCGATAGCTCAGAACAAGCCAATACTATCGGATGAGTGAAATACTATCAATAGTATCGTAGTTCGTTAATAACAAACTATTGCTAGTATCGATTGTAGTTTCAGATAAAATCAACAGTATCGATAGTTTAGATCTATCAATACTAGGGGGGCAATTGTGGTAATTTATTGTGCGGCGCCAGACGGAATCGAAAATCGACAACTTATTGCTAACGCCGAGTGACTTTAGCAACTTTCAACATTTTTCTTGCCTATATCACCAGTCGTGATTGATTGGCTTCAAATTTATTTGCTACGCTACGGCAGCGTATACGCATTTAAGCTAACTTCTCTGAGTGGTGCACTATTTAGGTAAATATCGCGAATCGTAAGTGGGCCGGCCTAAGATTTATGGACCTCCACTCATTCGTTGCTCCAGGGCCGCCACCCCTTCAAAACTGATCCTGGTTACGAAGTTGAAATCTGTCAGTTTGTCCCTCCCTTCATTCACGGGAGAAATAAATTCCTATACTTATCAAACCTTGCCTGTTATGGGCCACCCTACAATGAATAAATCTATAAATAGACTAGGGTTATGAAGTCGAAGTAACGCATCCGTAATACAAACAAAACATAACAGATTATATTAATGTTTATTTTCTGTTGGCCTCAAAATATTCATAGTACATTTTACAACAAATGTTATTACATTCAATTATATTATACTTACATTTCAATGCAGAAACTTTTCAAACTTTTAATTAGCTAAACATTTTTTTTAAATTGACAATTTTAGCGCTATTAACTCTATTTTAAGTTCGTCACCATAATGTGCTAACGACTAACTATGTATGTATTGAATACAGATTATCTGAAAACCGTTGGACTTATAGTAGAGAAAAGAAACTGAAAAAAGCAAACCCAATCAATTAAAAGGAAACATGCATGCATAGGGCCACACTGATGAGAAGTAATAATACATTGAAGGAATATTGTCACTCAAGGATAATAAATAAGTGAAAAATCAAAAACTCCCTGCGAGTGTAGGTATTTAATTTTATTTGGTAACTGCTACAAAAAGCTTTAACAATATCAAGTGATAAGTATTTTACAGTCAATTATTAATAAAAAAAAAGAAATGCATCTTTACTATCTACAGCCGAATTCGGACCAAATTACCGATTTCATAAAAAACAATTTTGTGTGCAATATTTTATGATTGGAGATCTTACGATTTAGACAAAGGTTATGATAATAAATAATATGAAACATTGTTTTTTATCGATCTGAAGTTGTTAAGTACTCTTCAACAGGCCAAATTGTTTAATTATTAAGTTATAAAAATCAAAACAACACAACACAAGCACTATAGTCATCGCTAAAAGCGGGGTATGACACATAATCTAATGTCTAATAATAAAAGACTAAGCTCAAATATATATCACGCTGTATTTGATGTAAAACTTATTACAACATAGTAAAAAAACTTTAAAAAAAACAGAAAATAAGTGCATAAGTAAGCAAAAATAAAAAAGTTAACTGTTCTTAACTCCGCGGACGCTTTAAGACAAACAAGAAATGGTCAACAAAGAAATTTACACATTCGTCCATTGGAGCCTCGAAGAAGGCAGTTGCCTTATTTCATTATTCAGTGTGAGGATTCGCATAAAAACTAATCTGACAACATACATTGTACTATTATCATGTAAAAATATAATTGATTTAATTTTTATGCATCACTATTGGACGCATGGGGAACTCAGAGAGCTTCACAAACAATATAAAATAAGATCGAGGCAGTAATCCACTAAATACTTTCAACATCGGCATAGAAACTGGAATGTCACACATATTAAAATACTGATTTGTTAAACAACAAAACTTATTAATAAAAAATATACATGAAACCACCAATGGATGTTGCAAATTGAACCTTAAGCCCGTTTAGGAGAATACATAAACACAGTTCCCACTATATCCCAAAATAATCGACCAACAACCATAAAATATGTTAGCCACATTCGTTTGCAACACCCAATAACAATTGCCCAAACTACCGTACCACAATACGCGGGTTGCCATCATTAAAAATATATTGCACCGTCAATTTATTAACTGTAGTAACGTGCCAGAACTATGATACAATTGCGCAAAATACTTACAAGTTAGTGTTTATTTATTATAATAATTAAATACAGAACAGCCAAAATCTCCCTGCTGTGCGCAGGACAATTTATCTAACAGAACAAATATTATGAAACAGTGATATATTAACCGTTCAGGCATAGAATCGCCGCTGATATCTCGAATAGAATCTCGCTGATAAAATGAGTAGTTGTCAAAAGTATCGAATTATTTTAATTAGGTAACGACAACACTACCTGTTAACCACCGACTACATCGACTTATATTTATTCATTTAAATAGTATCTATACCACATTTCAATGACATTATTTTCCTAATGGTAATAGCCTGTGCCTCAAAAACCTGTGTTGTCTTTCGTTCGAGAAGACATTATTGATATCAATAGGGAACGGCAAATTTTACCTTAGCGTTACAAATTTAGACTAAACTATTATGACTTACAGGATATAATGAGCAATGACTGCCAGCAGTCGATTGTTTGCAGTTACTACGATACAGTTTAAATTTATAAAACTAAGTAAAATTATATAATTTTGATATCAATAAAGTGTTCTATTGGGGCGAGGCATGGGCACCGCGTGAGCGTGATAATGTTACTTCGGGCGATAAACATATACATATTTCATTGCTAAAGATGGAAAAACTAAGGAACTTTCATTCATTATAGCATGATCAATGAAAGTTTTAACAGACTTCAAATCGAAAACGAGGGTCTTGCTTTGACTATGTTTTTTTTTACTTTTAACTTTAATATTTAAAAAAAAAATTAATACTTCTCAATAAACAGTGGTGTCATATTTGTTGGAAGAACTTCAATTGGAGAATTTTATTCATTGAGAATATGGAAAAACCAATATACATCATTTGATTTTAATAACAATTCACATTCAAACAAGAGTTTCAAGTCGTTTTAGATAAATAAATACAGAATATTCATTATTAATGCTATAAAGAACAGATTTCGAGCAATAGCAATATATGTAAGTGTGGAGTTCGAGCCCGGTTAATCATAAGCACGCATATACGCATTTAACGTTCTTAGCACACCACGCATTGCTAATAAGTAAAGTACGATTCAAACTTCATTTACTATACTGTGAAGTTAGCAGCGAGTGGAACTATACTAAGGTTTCAGTTACAGACATAGAGAATAGACCTGCAGGAAATTTATTACTCTCTAGGCTATAAAAGAGTGAAAGAGGCGAAGCGATCGAGCGACCAGTAGTTTCATAGAGGTATAAGGATAGAGTAGGGGAGATAATACAAACTCTACTACAAGTGGAAGCGTCCCTCTAATAGAAAGAGAAAGAAGATGAGAGACCGCTAGCTTTCTCTCTCTAATCGCGGATGCGCATTGGCAACCGTAAGCATCTTACTATTTCGATGTGATGCCATTGGATGCCATGAGTCACAAGAGAAAGAGATAGCTAGCGGTCTCTCATCTTCTTTCTCTTTCTAGTAGACGGACAGTTTTAAAGCCGCCTTCCCCACTCTATACCTCTATAAGTAGTTTGCGTTCGAATTTATCTGACAGCTGGATATAGAATACTCAGTCCGTTCTCTTTATATCTATGGTTTCAGTGAGTTATCTTACATTTCAGTTCAGTGAGTTATTTACTACGCCGCGACTTGCGCTAACTTCACAGCTGTATAGACATTAAAGGTTGAATCACACTGAAATATGCTGCGTAGTGAGCTACAATTGTAGCATAGTGAAATATAGCGTAAGTTTAATGGAATACTGACATAATAGTAATCAAGACATATAAAGAAAAGCTTGTGAAAACACCATCCTATAGCATTATATTTATAGGATAATTTAGGATTTCAAATATATCATCATAAGCCAATTCATGAACCCACTACTGGGGAACAGATGTTCTCCAAAGATAGATATGGAGGAGATTGGACCATGACCCATCACGCGGACTCAGTGCGGGTTAGTGGGTGCTAAAGATTGCAATGCAAGAGTAAGGATTGACGGCTTAACAGAGAAGCTTAAGATAACAAGTTTTTGGTCACCCATCTAATAGTCGGTCATTGCAACATTTTCTTAACTTCATCTACCATCTCTTCATTACCAAAACTATACCATCAAGCTCCTCTCTATGATATTTGTCATATAGTTTGCAAAGAATGGTCTGATCTGAGCCATTCAGCTTCTCGCCAATATTTAACATAAATTTCACAAAAAATAGTTCTAACACAAGCTTGTAGTTAGAATAACTCGCCGTTGACTTCAGTACTATTGCAGCATTCCATTAAGCGAACACAGTTTCGAGTCAAATTTACTCGTTGTCCGCACGCATTCCGCGCACTTCGCCTTCGCGACGCAATCGCTCCAACTCTTCCTTAGTGCGGTCTTCTATAGCGCGGATATCGGCCATCGTCATGCCGTGCCAGTCGTCCATCGAACAAAATACTTGTCTGTGAATAAACAATAATAAAATAAATAATAAAAAAAAATGAGCAAGCCTTACAGTAGTCGCGTATGATGTGTAACATCTGAAACCTCACCTTATATTAGTAAAAAAAGAAATAATACCTACTACCAAACGACAAAGACATTAGCACATTGTTCTTAAATCAAATCAAATAGCGCGCGTAATCACTCCCACAAATTGCACGAAAGCGAGAGGAAATATGTTACACGTCAATAATAAATAAATATTGCCCACACTCACACCAATTGAGACTACCACCGTGGTGGAGTGGTATGTACGCCGGGTTTCAAGATGTCACCTACTCGAGAATCCCGGGTTCGAATCCTGATGGGGACAGATGTTTGTGTGATGAATACGAGCATTTGTACTCCAGTCATGGATGTTCAATATGTATTTCTATATAGATATACTTATAAATGTATCAGTATAAGTATTCTATCCGTTACCCCTATCCCATAACACAAGCCCACAATGCTTACTTTGGGGCTTACGCTAATTGGTGTGACTTAAAAAATAAAATAAAAAAGCCTAGCCCCCAAGTAACCACTGTGGACTTGTGTTATGGGATACTCTAGGAGTCTAGGGTAACGGATATAATACATTATATTTGATACATATATATCAATATTTATATAGAAATATATATAAACATCCATGACTAAGGTACAAATGCTCGCATTCATCATATTAACGTTTGCCCACACGGATTCGAACCCGGGAGTAGGCGACACCTTGAAACCCGGCGTATGAACCATTCGGCCACGAAGGTCGTCGAATAAACAATGACAAATATTTATTATGACAAAAAAAAATATCTAACCCTCTTATTACAAAACTTAGACCTGGTAAAACTGTTACTGTCTCTTTTTGTTTGCTACACTTTAGTTCAAGCTTTGTAATAAGGCGATTATAGATGAAATGAGATTTAGTTGGTGGTATGTTTAAGCAACAAGTAACATTGGTTGCAAAACAAAGATATAAAAACTAATTCTAACAACTTTCTATTTTTAAAAAGCCTTAACTTTTCTAAACAATTTCTTTATTTATTTTTTATTCCTGGTCCAGTTTGTAGAAATTACATATACCTACCTATAGTTAGAAAAAATATTATTACACCAATTACATGTAAAGAAATAAGTGTTGAATGTAAAAAACCATACAAACCTATGGAATATGGTAAACAACCGCCGTTCTGATTTCTGGATGACATTTTCTACTTTACTCTGTGAAAGACGAAAAGCATTGATTTAGTAACAGTAAACTATGATATTAGGAATTTGTTAAGAAAATAAATGAATTTTCATGACGTGTGATTAGTTTATAATTTCGACCACAATTTAAAAACATCTTATTAGATAGTTGATACTAAATTATTCTCTCCTCTTATAATTTTCTGTTTATAATCTGTAGTAGGTAAGCTAACGCAAAAATTGTACGGCAAATATTTTCAATAGTATCTAATGTCACTCTGAATTTAATAAAGGACCATTATGAAAATTTTAAACGAGTCTTGGGACAGGTAGACAGCTTATTGCCTACGATTACTGTAAGAATAACTAGAAAAAACCAGCTAAGTGGCTGGTGGAGTCTTATTTTTCTTCAGGTACTCACAAAAAAAAGCAAAATTTTTTCACATATATTTCGACAATAAACACCCGCTGCCGAACCTAGTTATAATGCGATTCAACTAAGAATAGGACCGACTGGGCGCCATATTTTGACGTCATAGCTGTCAATGCAAACCAAATAGGTAGAGTGAGCAAAAAAATGTTGCTATTTAATAAAACTTATTTACTAAGATTGAGTGTGACAAAACATCAGATTGTTTAATAAAATTAATTTACTAAGGTTGAGAAAGAACACAACCGATTTGAATTTTGTGTGAAAAAAAATATTGATCAGAATCTAGCTCTTCAATTTCGTTCATCTCTGCATTACCGCCGGAGAAGTTATGAATAATCATGCAGGTCACATACGAACATGCCTCCTTTAAGTAAACGAAAGTTTTAAATGGAGTTTCTGAACGCTACATAAAGTGACATTTGGTTGACGATTTAGGTTATCAACCATTCATAGCCAAAAGCTCAATAAATGAAAAAAAAATAGCTAATATTAATTTCCAAACATTTGTTATTGTTTGTTTAAAAATGTTTGGTTTTTATTCTAGAATCAGCTGAGTGCTAAAAAAAGTGTTCCGAGATTTTTTTGGGAACCGTACTTTTCAAGCGACATTTGACAGGTGGAGGTCATTGGGTTTCCTATTCTTGCTAGTAAATATTGGCACGATAAGAAAAAAGCCATCCGCCAGGGCTAGATTTTTAAAGGTTTTTTTATCTAACTCACCTGGAGTCCGAACCACTTGAACTCTGTGGTGAGTAGCTTGTAGCAGGTTATGACTGGTTTGACGTCGTTCTACCAGTTGGGCCTCACGTGGGGAGAGCATCCGGTCTTAGAAGACTTGAACTTGGTACCGTCTCGGGCTAGTTTATTACATTTACTTATAACTCACCTGGACCCCGAACCACTTGAACTCTGCGGTGACTAGCTTGTAGCACGTTGTGACTGGTTTGACGTCGTTCTTCCAGTTGGGCCTCACGTGGGGAGAGCGTCCGGTCTTAGAAGACTTTAACTTGGTACCGTCTCGGGCTAGTTTATTACATTTACTTATAACTCACCTGGACCCCGAACCACTTGAACTCTGCGGTGACTAGCTTGTAGCACGTTGTGGCTGGTTTGACGTCGTTCTTCCAGTTGGGCCTCACGTGGGGAGAGCGTCCGGTCTTAGAAGACTTTAACTTGGTACCGTCTCGGGCTAGTTTATTACATTTACTTATAACTCACCTGGAGCCCGAACCACTTGAACTCTGCGGTGACTAGCTTGTAGCAGGTCATGACTGGTTTGACGTCGTTCTTCCAGTTGGGCCCCACGAGGGGTCCGCGCCCGGTCTTAGACGACTTAAACTTGGTAGGGTCTGTTTCGGGTTTGTAATCGGCTGAAGGGAGCGGGTCGTTTGCTATGTCTATGTTCACCACTTCACGGATTTTAAGCTTCTCCGGTGGCAATTCGTGTACCTGAGATGAGATATAATGTGTTTTAAACGGTGTGGAGACTTGGCATGCAAAGACTAGAATGGATAATACATTAGCCATCTTCTCAGTTAATCCCTGTACTTCAAGGGAACGATGACAACGGAACCCTATAAAAATCATCCATTATCTAGTCGTAAATCAGTGCCGTGTTTGGTTTACTTGTCTAATGATTCTTAAGATACAGTTGAACATGTCACAGAATATTTCTATAGTCGTTATAACAACAAATAATAAAAATTAATATTAAATGCGCAGTGCGAGTGTAGGAGCGGAAGCACTATTATCATTTTTTATTTCAGATTTTTCAATCTAATATTTTAGCTATATGGGGGGAGGGGGGGGGGGGCTACGCGCTACTCGCTGACAATCATGTCAGCTCTAGTTTAAAGTTTTGCAATGACAAGGTAATGATCGTAGGCACTCTTTGTTCACGATGCGACAGGACAATCGTCAGTTGCTTGTTATACTGCAATTATACGACCGCGATGTAGTAACACGAGCTTAATAAATACTAGCTGTAGTTTGAATAAAAAAATCTTTCGCAATTGAAAGAAAAAGAGAAAAAGAAAGAATGTCAGGCTTTTCCAAAGACGTTATAATTTTATTTTAAATAAGTATTTATTTAATACAGTTCTTAAAATCATATTTATTACCTGTTTTACACAATTAAAAACGTAATCATAAGTGATTTCTATTAGAATTTATACAATCCTTTTATTTTTCTAAATACAAGTTGGTTGATCGCCTGCTACACGCATAATAAATCTTACTACTTAAACAGCTCAAACTTAGAAAACTAACAGACGAAGACAATTATTTAAGTCATAAGATAGGTAATACTTTATTGTAAAAGTAATTTTGTTTTAGTAATTCATTCGATTTAAAATTTGCTGATAAGTGATCACATCTATAAATTTTTAATAGGTACCTATGCAAGATTATCGATAAATAGGTACTTTTGGCCCCATTACTAATGGTGTGCTCGAGCAAAGGTCATCTCTATTTGATTCATCTCAAGCAAGGAATATCAACTGAATAATAAGTAGGTATACAAATTAGATGTAGATCAAAATTACTGACACGCAGATGCCCTTCTAATATTTAATTCAAAAAGAACAATTATGGCAACGCGTAGTACTGCCATAATAAAGTAGGTGGACTGCTACTTACTTTTGCACTAATCTCCGTATAGTCTTTAATCTATTATTATCGATACAAGTAATGATGACATAAATTAATTTACAACCCTGATTAAAAATCGGTCAAGGTGAGTTGGAATTGTACACGAAGGGCTCCGTACCATTATACGTGGTTTAATTAACATTTGCAGTACAGCCATTGCGATTCACCTCGGTCGCCATATCGAAAGAGTTTTAATAATAGATTATTTTACTTAGGGCCGATTTCTAGAACACTGGATAAAATTATTTTGTCTGATATCGTATTTATTGTACAAACAAAATAAAGATTTGATTTGTGTTAATTGGTGTAATGTGACGGCTGACACAGAGATCTCAATCAAATAGAGCAGAGATGTCCTCTCTCTCTATTTGATTGAGTATTAATTTATTGAACAGTTAAGTTTTATCAGAGTTTTGAAAATGGAAGCTTAGTTTATTATCATATACTTTATCAATATCTTTGCAAGTTTAATGTATGAAGACCCTCATTTTTTAAGGTTCCGTAGTCCTGTCAAGGAACCCCTATAGTTTCGACATGTCCGTCTGTCTGTCCGTCCCCGGTTTTGCTTGGAGACTGTTAGCACTAAAGAACTGTCATTTTGTGGAGATACGGAATCACGACGACAAAATGGTACAATTTAGTTTTTTTTTATTAGGGTAGGCCCTACATGTAACCTGGGGATGATTTTTTTTAACCCCATCGTATGGGGTATCGACTTAGGGATCCGTTTGCGAAATACTGAACTTTAAAGTGCTAATTCTTGTTTGAGCAGGGCGTCCCCCCCCCCCCCCCCCTCTCCCAAAAACTATTAGTATTGGCTTGAAAAACCTACTAATTGTTTTTTTTAATTCCGATACTGAAAATAAAGACTCGTGCTCAAATATATTGTTGTAACGACAGGCAACTATGGAACCCAACACTGCGCGTGGGACGACATGCACTTGGCCGGTTTTTATTTAAGTTATTTTAATATTTGTTGTTATAGCGGTCATAAAAAAAACACATTCATTAATGCGACATACCCAGCCGGCAGACGGACGGACGGACAGTAGACTAAATAAAATAGTATAGTTTGGGAACACCAATATTCCAAATATGTTTACTAAAAATCTATCTGGGTAGTAACGGAACAGGAAATCCGTCGTCGTTAATTATATTTTTTTGAAAGAAAACTTGTTTATGCTGCTGTTGTTGAACAAGTTTGATGGATGACAAGATGAGAAAGACGACTCGAGACGAGGTCAAAGTTACAAGGCATGCATTGCGTAAGCAAGCAAGCGCCACGGCAGCAAGTTCAGTATCTCAAGTAACCTCGCTGGCGACATAAAATTAATACTAGCGTACAGATGTAAGTAGATACCTTTTGCATTGTAAACAGGTGTTTAGCTACAATTGGACGTAGTTACGCGAAAACGTTCCAACCCACAAGTCACTCGAAAATGAGTTACCATAACCAGGGTACTATTTTTGACATATTATATCATGTGCACACAAAGATGCTAGTATTTTTAGATTAGTTTCATCAATAAAGTTTAACCCAAATGTTCCAACCCACCATTATGCCAAGGACGTGTACTCAAAATAAAGTAAAAACATTACATGCATACTGAAACATATTGTTAAAAACTCTTAATAGAATAACATATCGTTATAATGTTCCACTTGTCTTGGAACATTATACTAAATTCATAAAACGCACATTTAATGGTTTCTTAAATGATCCATGTGGGTTGGAACGTTTTTGCAAAATCTTTACACCTTTTTATTTCTGCAAAAATGTTCCATGTAATTTGAAACCTTTTAGATTAATCCATACTGTTTTTTTAAGCTGCGAACACTGTTCTAAATAAATTGAAATCTTTTATTATAATATATTATTTTCTAATTTTTTGCTATAAACAATCCACATATACTTGATCCATTTTTGCTATTAAATATGTTCTAGAGAAAAAGATATTTTTTACCAAAATAAATAACTATGGTATATTTCGACGTAGTAACGTGAAAATGTTCCAACCCACAGCAACCCCAATTTGAGATAAACGCAACTTACACACTTTTTCCCTGTAATTATTTCAGGCAAATACTATTGGTTTAACTATGGAATGCCAAACTGTTTATTGAATGATATGCATATTTTTTGTAAATACATAATACAAGGGGCATATAAATAGATAAAACGAGTTTGAAATGTTTTTGCTAAATTAATTTTGTATGAACCTTGTTATATAGCAATTATGCATAAACTTTCCAAAACGAATTTAAGTGTATTATTTTATAAAAATAAACCAAAAAGAAATATGTAAAATAATAAATAACAATGAGGAACATACAAAAACAACAAAAAAAATATTTGAAAATGTATTAGAAAAAAATAGAACGTGATCTTTTGAGCTTAGAACCTATGCCAAAAATTTGCTGATATGGTTCCAAAAGTTATCAAAAACTTATATTATAAACATTCAATTTTCATCATCGTATTCTATGATCTCGAAGTCCGGAACTCCACCAAACCCATCAACATCATCAGTGCTTCTTCAAAACTTTGAAGCGTTCTATAAAATTGAAGGCAATCCTCGGGTATATAGTGGTACATGGATTGCAAGTCCACTAATTTCGCTGGAGCAATCGGTTTGTCGTTAGGCCACAATAAGCAAAAATCAGATTCTTTTATGTATTGCAGTTCTCGTTTTATTCTTTTATCAATTTTCAACTCATTGAAATCGTCTTCGATCGTAGACCGCATAAAAATAGAAAACATTTTATCTTTATCCAACTTAATTTCTTTTGTATGTAGCCAACTAACTTTAGATGAGTCTGTAAACTTCTTCCTATTGATCTTCTTTTCCAGTTTAGTTGTACTAAAAAAATCAGTCTTTGTCATTTTGTAAATTTGAAGAGGTTTAACTTTTTTACTTAGTTCTACAATAGTGGTATCCATAGTGCATCTAATGATACTGGGCATTGTTATGTACTGGTAGAAGGAGAGGTAGGAAGAGGTGCACAGGAAGTGAATTGCCTTCAATTTTATAGAACGCTTCAAAGTTCTGAAGAAGCACTGATGATGTTGATGGGTTTGGTGGAGTTCCGGACTTCGAGATCATAGAATACGATGATGAAAATTGAATGTTTATAATATAAGTTTTTGATAACTTTTGGAACCATAGCAGCAAATTGGCATAGGTTCTAAGCTCAAAAGATCACGTTCTATTTTTTTTGTAATACATTTTCAATTTTTTTTTGTTGTTTTTGTATGTTCCTCATTGTTATTTATTATTTTACATATTTATTTTAGATATATTTATAAAATAATACACTTAAATTCGTTCTGGAACGTTTATGCATAATTGCTATTTAACAAGGTTCATACAAAATTAAATTTAGCGAAAACGTTTCAAACTCGTTTTACCTATTTATATGCCCCTTGTATTATGTTTTTACAAAAAATATGCATATCATTCAATAACCAGTTTGGCATTCCACAGTAACACCAATAGTATTTGCCTGAAATAATTACAGGGAAAAAGTGTACCGCTAAAACACAAAATTGCGTTTATCTCAAAATGGGGTCGCTGTGGGTTGGAACGTTTTCGCGTAACTACGTCCAATTGAGATACGTTATTATTAAAAATGTAGCGATTTGCACGCAGTGCGTAGAAAAAAATACGTAAAAAGGAATTTCTGTAACCCAAATTTGTGTCTTTAGGTATTCGTAATATGAGAGCTCTTTTAGGTAAGTAAAAAAAAACAACACCAAATACGACTAAGAAAATAACATTTTTAATATTTGACGATCTCCACATGGCTCGAGTGGTATTTACCGGTCCCGGGTTCGAATCCCGGCGGTGCAAATGTTTGTGTGATGAATAAGAGTATTTGCACCTGAGTCACGGAAGTTATATACTGTATTTCTAAAAAAATATAAAAATACTTATATTTGTATCAGTATAATTATGTATTCTATCCGTTACCCTAGTATCCCATAACACAAGCTTTACAGTGCTTACTTTGTTCAGGCTTTGGCTAGGCTAATTGGTGCATGTGTTAGAAATATTTATTATTATTACTATTATCATTTATTATTCGATATACTCACATTATACTGATCTCCAACATCCGGTAAATGTAACGACTCTATACAAATGACGAAGTTTTCTTTCATGTAGCCTGGGTTCTGAAACACGAAACGGTAAAAATAAACAGTTTATAATCAATAAATACACATTTCGATAAGACATAAATTTTATTGATAACCTATTTTTGGCGCCGTTACCTAAAATGGTGCTTTCATATGTGGGAAGGTTTATTTATTTGTGGATATATTAGCAGCAGCATTTTAAGAAGGATTATCAAAATCGGACTAGTCCGTAAAAAGTTATAATAAAGTTATAAAGAGGAAAGATTTGTATGTTTGTAACGAATTGGCTCAAAAAGTACTGGACCGATTTTTAGAATTCTTTCACCATTTAAATGCTACATTATCATTGATTAATATAGGCTATAGTTTATTTTCAAAAAAGTTAGAGTTCCGTATGAAAACTTCGATAATGTAACCCAAGGTGTGTTAAAAAATACCAAAAAATAGCCTTATATCGCGTACGCTGCGGAAGACATTGACAATAGAGCAAAGTGTTGTACTAAAGATTTATAGAGGATACCAATATCTACAAAATGTCTGCGATACCATATAATAATAATAATAATAAGATTTATTGACCAAAAAAATCAGTACAGTAAGATTACGTAACGAACTTAGCACTAGTTACAGAAATTATAATTTATTAGTCTCTGCTGCTGAACTAGGAATGCCTGTATTTCAGCATTCAGCGCCATAAACCCCCACAGACATGAGAATACTAAACTAGACTAAATAAATATCTCATAAATGAAAAGATCAGTAGGTCATTTTAAAAGCAAGGCATCTATGAGTATAATATTTGAATTAATATGTGATGTATGAAAATGATGTGTGGGTGTATTTGTATGTGTGTGTGTGTGTGTGTGTGTTTGTGTATATGTGTTTAAGTGCGGATTTATTTAGTATTTGTAGCATACGTGTATGTATCTGTTTGAATTATTCAAGTTAGTATATTTATAAAATTTTCGGTTTCTTCATAAGACATTGCTTGAAGCCACCTATAGATAACTTCTTTACATACTAACCTGGGTAATGGGTAAATATTCAACAGTTTATTAATTTGATTGTATAAATAGGGTCCTAAAAATTTAAAAAACCTGTGACTGAATTTCGTACGTGTCCTCTGTGTACGACATACTGCATATTTTCGCCGAGAAGAAAGAATTGTGCTACTCGCGTCAAAGGTAAGCAAGGCATGTTGCCTGAGAACTATATTTAGTAAAAACAGTTGTCGTACTGTAAGTACATCGCAAACTTGAAACAAGTCAAAAGTTGAATACAGGAACGGTTTAAACATGCAAATTTTCAGTATTGCTCTTTGAGCTACTTCTAGTTTTAATATTTTTGTTTTAGCTGCACCACCCCAACTAGCGATACAGTAACACAATAACGATTGACAGAGCGCATAGTACACCTGCTTAAGACGATGAGGTTCCAGAACATGACGTATATTCTTAAAAATAGGCATCAATTTACGAATTCTTGCCGATAATTGATCAATGTATTTGTAAAAGTTGAGATTTTCATCAATGATAATACCAAGGTATTTAATAGATTGAACAGATTCCATGGCTAAACAGGAACAGCAACTTTCATGGTTAACATTATTGTCAGTCAAGGAAGTATGGAATCTAATTTTTAAGTTAGTATTACAATTTTGGTGATTTTTTATCGAAAATTTAATATATTTAGATTTATCTACATTTAGCGAAAGTCTATTAATTGTGAGCCATTTCTGAACAGCATATGTCTAACTATTACAGTTATGTCACAACTAGAGGTCCCCAGCGGTTTCAACCGCGTTAATTTGAAGAAAAAGGTTTATAGTGAGTCAAACTTAAAATATGGACATAGGCTGTCGTGGACTTTTTTACAGAACTTTAAAAGGGGAAGAATTCTGTCATACATGATTTTTGTGTTACTTTAACCGTTTACACAGCGCACGCAACGGAATATCACAAATGAAATATTTTTACCCGTTTTTGCAACATTTTTCATCGATGCTCCGCTGCTACTATATAGCCTATAGCCTGCCTCGATAAATACACTGTCCAATACAAAAATATTTTTTCAAATCGGAACAACAGAGCAATGTTGCATTCGCAACAAGGGGTCCTAAACTACGCAACGAATTTTTTTCTTGGAATGGAAGTATATCATTATTATGAAGAAAGTTATTGTGTATAATACAAGCCTTTGAACAAAAACTATAGTCTACACCGAAGCGAAGCGAGAGCGGGTCACTATCTTATATTAAAAAAATACGTGTCGACTTTAACTTTAAAAAAAAATACGTCTATAATACTTAAAATTTATACCTTCTAACAATTTAGTGGCACACTTGACTGGAACGAAATGTAAAAGGCTTTATAAAACATACCAGCATCTGACAACAACTAAACTGTTGATGTTGTGTGTGTAAATATTACCTATATAATATATGAAGAGATTAGGAGTTCGATAGCCCAGGTGGTGAGCGCATTCGGCCTGCGATCGTGAAAGTTAAGCAACGTTCGCAATGGTCGATCATTGGATAGATGACCAAAACCTTATTATCTCGAGCTCCTCCGTTAAGACGTTAGTCCCGGCTGCATCTGCAGTCGTTAGCACCCACCAATCCGCACTGGGTTCGATGACATGGGAAAGCCTGCGACCCCAGCAGTAGGGACATTAATAGGCTGATGATAATAACTGCTAGACTCGTCGGAAACTGTTGTCGCGACTACACACACACTCGATCCTTAGAATGTGTGACCGGTGCAGGAGAATTGTCTGGTTTTTAATGGGTAGGGCCTACGCTGGGCTAAGCGGCCAGGGAGGAGAGTCCGCATATACCTTCTCGCTCCCCATTGGCTGAAAGATGCGAAAGAGAATATTTCCCAGACACAAAAATACCGTTAAAAGAACTTACCGTTAACACAGTCCGGCAGTAAGGGTACGCGTTCCACGCCTCCTCGTGAACCTCCAAAGATCCCTTTGGCGCCAACAGCCTAATAAACGCTGGCACCTTTGATGCTAGATGGTATATCTTGTAAGTGTACTGGCCCGACGAAAACCTACCACCTGACAAATGAAAATTAGCTTTAATGACATAACCTTAACACACAAATTACCATGAACTAAATGATGCAATCACTATAAGTATACAAGTTTCACATATTCGGTTACTGTGATTACTGATTACCGCGTTTACAAACAAATACTTAATATACTAACACAACAACCTACATTTTTTATAGTAATAATTACAGACTCTAAAGTACTGTAACGACAATATATGATAACTACCTATATTGACATGAAAAACATCCTTCTGTGCCGGACACTTAAGTAAATTGCCTGCCGGGCCTGCAGGAAGATATTTTAATATGAAATAAGCAGTGACCTTGTACATGTGTCTTTTTTCTCTTTTTCCCAAATATTTTATTGTGTGTGTAGTGTACAAAATAAATAAATAATTTTAAGTAGATTTAATTCTTAAAAAATAAGTGATAAAACATATGAATAAAACTCTTTTCAACTAATAATTTTAGTGTGTGTACATTTGTTAAAATTAGTCTAAGTGGATTTATAAATTAGATTAAAACACACGAAATATAAAATTGGCACTGATAAATGGCACATGAAATTGGGAATCGAACACACATCTTCTGTTGAGACCTTCGATAAATGATACTAGTTTATTAAGAATACCAGCAAATACCAAGGTTAACACTCTAACCCCTTTATTAATGAACAAGGAATTAGCTTAGACTAGTTACGTCGTGTTTTGTTCATGTCACTCAAATGCCATTTGTCATTCAATAGACAGCGACAAAACATGGAGTAACTAATCCAAGCGTAGTCTTCGTTTATTAATAAGGGGGTAAGAGTTTAAGTTTGTTAAAACATAAAGTCGAATTGAGAACCTCCGCCTATTTAAAGTCGTTAAATAGAAGTTATTATGGAACGAAATTATTACGTGAAAAACAATCAGCAATTAGGTAGGTACTAATAGTTGTCCATAATTTATGTATTTATTATGTGCCTAAAGCTATTTATCATTTTTCTCATAAGCACGAGCTGTCTTTCTATGACGTCAAATGCGCACGTAAGGCATATATAAAAAATGTTATTTTAGAATCAAGTTTTGTCCAGTATACAGAATGAGTCAAAATGCATGTATGTCGTTTTTTATCAAATCAGAAATCAATATATCTTTTTCAAAATGGATGTATAGTACAACTCTTTTGGAACGTCCAGATTTTTTTTCCCTACCACTCGTTATTGGACATATTTTTTAGCTGCGGAGAAATACGAGTGAAAAAGCTCCACAACATTAAAAGTATAATGTAACAACATTTACAAATCATTATGCTGTTACAGCGTCAATACAATCATGATTTATTTAATAGAAAACCTGTAGGAATGATTGGAACAGTTCAAACCCAAGCATTTTTGTCTGTAATATAATCTGACACTTAGTAATAAGTGCTTTGTTTATACTATCATTGAATTTATTTATTTTTAACTCTTGGATATTGCTTGGCACTTTATTGTATAAGCGAACACAAAGACCTTTAAATGAATTATTGATTTTGTAAAGCCTAGTAGCAGGTAAACTTAGTTTATTTTTCTTTCTTGTATTAAGTGTGTGAACATCACTGGTTTTATGAAACAAATTAATATTTTTTCTTACAAGTAATAAATTTTCGTATATGTATTGTGTTGCAATCGTCATTATGCCAAATTCTTTAAACTTATTTCTTAATTTAAAAAAATAATAATTCCCAATCCTAAGCAAAAATTGCTTATTATTATTGCACAGCAAAATAGGAACCTCAAAATATTGTTATATTAGTAACAATTTAAGTTCGTGATGCATCGCTATTTATTTAAAACTGAAGCATTTTTGAAAAATGCATATCTAATAATAAGCAACCACCTCACAACAAATCTTTTTATCTCATACAGCAGTTTAGCTAAGTGAAACACCATTTTAATTGACATAAGAATCTAATTTAAATTTATTACTATAATAATAAAATAACGCTGCTCACGATGTTCTATGTTCTGTTAACACCACAAATCCACGGTATGAATCCAGCTCGCACCTATCCAAACACCGCAAACTGAATAAACTGCGACGTCATTTGAAAAACAGCTTGCATCGCATCGGCACGGTAATAATATCATAATATTACCGTGGCATCGGTATCCGAACAAAGTTTGCATATTCTATCATCGTAATAAATTGCAAGTTTTCAAAAAACCTTAGTTCAAATCCTCTGCAACTTGCCTGCAATCGATCCACCAACAATTTTTCTTATCCAAGATCCTCCTATCCACCCTTGTGTCCGATGGGAATAGAAAATAATATAAAATAAAACGGATAGTCGAATAAACCGGGGATCAGTTGTAGATCAGACGGTAATCAGTAATAATTCGCAAGGTAGCAATAAACGAGAGACAGCCAAGTTTTTTTTTATAGCCAGGTAGACAAATTACTCAATCCCACCGTATAGTGGTGATTAAGTCCAAACGCGAAGATAGTTGGTACAGCAATTATAAACTGCTACACCAACCATCCTCACCTTGCCGGCCTGCAAAAATGCTTCTTCGCGCCTTTCTTAATGGACTAGGGTCCTTTAAGAAAGGATTGTAGGGAGGAGGGAACACGGGTGCGGGCAAAGAATTCCACTTACGTATAGTACGACAAAGAAATGAGTCACCAGATTTATTTGTTCTTGTAGGAATAGTAGCCACAGTAAGTCGGTGGGAACGTAGGCCAGCGCGCGTGGTCCTCCGAAGTAAAGGTGATGGAGGGAGAATAACTCCTCAGAACACTTGCCATGGTATAGTCGATAGAATGCGCTTAATGATGCCACATCGCGGGTGAATTGGGATTATGATAAACGCTCCTGTGTGTACCACGCAGTCTTTCTCAAGCTGCCAACCTACACCTGATCGTGTACCGTGCTATTGATAAGAACGATCGAACCAACTGATTCCTGACCCACTTGCCCGATAATTTCCTTAAAAATGTCAAAAAACACTTAGGACTTTATAATAACAATGAAAAGGTCAGCAATGAAGTTAGCTGATCGTACAATGAAACATCCTGGTCCATTAGACACTGGATCCTCAAGATTCGACCCGAAAGCAAAAAGTGCCTATTGGACTTCGATCAACATTGCTATAGATAACGGGTTGCATACCAAATCAAAGCTAAAACTGTCCGCGTGTGTATTAAGCAGCTACATTGGATTCCTAATAAGAAACTTTATAATAACAATAAAAAGGTCAGCAATGAAGTTAGCTGATCGTACAATGAAACATCCTGGTCCATTAGACACTGGATCCTCAAGATTCGACCCGAAAGCAAAAAGTGCCTATTGGACTTCGATCAACATTGCTATAGATAACGGGTTGCATACCAAATCAAAGCTAAAACTGTCCGCGTGTGTATATATTAAGCAGCTACATTGGATTCCTAATAAGAAAACAGTTTAAGTTGAACCTAATAACAACCATTTCACAAAAGAATAAAGTTACAAATAAGAAAATGTTATTTTGTACACACTACCTTTTATCTTATAAAACGAACAAAACAATAAATTATTTTCATACTTGAAAAAAACATCGATCAAGTTAAAAAAAGGGAAAATGTGAAATCAACCTTATAACCCACAAAATAAAGTATTTTACCAGTCATTGGCCAGCCAACGACTTCGTTTTTACATCGATTCTTTTAGTCACTGCAAAATGGTTGTTCGAAAAAAGTTGGACAAAATATTGGACCCATGTTGTCAAATATTCTTAGCGGAGGTTTGAAAATTGTGATTTTATTAGAAATATAACACATGATACTTATAAGTGTAAAGCATAAAATAAACTATATTTCTGTCTCGTTCTAGCCTATTGTTTACATCCCAAAAAACTACCTGAAAACCATATTATTATGTATAATTTAGTTAAAGCTAACTTATAAAAAATATTTTCTTTTGTCTTTAAAACTAAGGTGCGAAAATCTGTGATTTTATTTTTATATTACTTATATAATATTTATATTTTGGTTTATTTCCGATGATTAATGTTGATCTTAATAACTTTGTTGATTATTTATTAAGATAATAAAAATTTAGATTGAACTATAACCATTGTGTTTTTATTTCTTTAACAATGTTAATTTACTACACGGCTGTACTATACCGTTGCTTGCAAAAGAATTTGCCAAATAGTCCAATGAGATAGCAGCTCCAATAAGTCCTTTTGTGTAGGTAAGTCCGTCTTTGAAACGTCCAGTGGGCATCAAATTTTTTAAAGGAAGTCGAATAAATTCGTCTGTCATGTTGGTAAGGTCCAATTATGAAGGATCAGTGGGCACCATGTTTTTGATAGGAGGTCTAATGAATAGGTCCTATTTTTTCCTTTAATTTATGAAGGTCCAGTGGGTACTAGATCAACCTCCTCTGTTTGTGACAGAAAAAGATCTGGCCATCTAAGTAGTGTTGATACTAAGAAGGCGATCAAAGCATTCCAAGATAAGAATTCGAAGAAATCTATATATAAACTAGCGGACCTGACAGACGTTGTCCTGTCTACACGTCTTTGTGAATCTAAACCATTCTCAGATCCCCTTGAACACACACAAAAAATTGCATCAAAATCGGTCCAGTCGTTTAAGAGAAGTTCAGTGACATACACACTCACAGAAGAATTATATATATAAAGATATAAAAAAGAGATTTTCCTTTTAAATTTGTTTTTTTTTCTAAGCAAAGTTTATGGGTATACATCTTCTTCTTCTTTGTTGAAATCTTTTTTGTTTTCTAAAGTATAATTGGCTGATTTTACAAAAAGAAACTTTTCGATTATATTCTGTTTTCACAAAAATAAATATAAGCATTTAAGTACTTACAATAGTATAAATCGTTCAAAAGTTCAAAACCGAACAAAGATGTTGTTAAGACTTTTTTGATGAGTATATTACCTATGTAAAAAAAAGATAGTACTAACTACAGCCTAGGTAGAATATGACTGTAGATATGTATGTAAATACATTTTTAACATGTCAAGTTACA